TTTGGAAGTTGAGATCTCGAAAAAGTGCACGCCGTTGTGGCGCGAAGCACATTTCGAAGTCAAAATGTGCAAAGCACTAGGGGTTCGGACCACTTTTGGAGGTTCAGATGTCGCTTCGCTTCGCTTCGGGTCATTACACTACACTATACACTCCACTACACTACAGTACATTACGCTACACTACACTCCACAACACTACAACTAAAACTACAGAACTACACAACTACACTCCACTACACTCCACTACATTAAATTACAATACACTACGCCACATTACACTACACTCCACTACACTACACTACATTACACTACACTATACACTCCACTACACTACACTACATTACATTACACTATACACTCCACACACTACAGTACATTACACTACACTACACTCCACAACACTGCAACTACAACTACAGAACTACACAACTACACTCCACTACACTCCACTACACACCGCTACACTAAATTACACTACACTACATTGCGCTACACTAGAAAGATCGATAGATAGATAGATAGATGGATAGATAGATAGATAGATAGATACATAGAAAATAGATAGGTAGGTAGGTAGATAGTCAGAGAAAGAGAGAGAAAGAGTGAGAGAGATCAAGCACCTTTCAGTCCATCAGTGGCTTCGCCCTGCCATCCCGGATTCACAACAACCAAGCTCTCCTATAGGTTTCCTATTTTTGAAACTTCCGCCACCGCCTTGTGCGGTACTACTGGTAAACCAATAAACCATCTATTCAAAATGTCTAAAGATAGGTTACCCCTTACCCCAAAATATTACTGGTTGAACATCATTGTTCTGATTAATTAACCCGTATTGGGGGCACATGCACATTTTAAGACATTCTCGAGGTCAATGAGCCGGATGTAAAGACCACGGGAGAGGTGCCTCGTTCCGCAATCATGGCTGAGTATGGGTCATGTAGATGGATTTGTGTGAAGTCTGAGAAACAAGAGTTGAATGCATTTTTTTTTTCTTGGTTTTTGTGAACACATTCAGATGGATGTTTCATATTTTTGTTGTGGTTGTTCACGTGGAACAGCTGCGGCTTATGGTGAATATGTTATGCCCAATTCCACGGATGGTTACCGCATGTTACCTGAGGCCGGAGATCCATCAGGACAGCATGGTTCCACCTTTGAATTAGTGCCAGCCGCCAAGGTGGATGTCGGGGAGGCTATACGAGGGATTATTTGATGTCATCAAACGAATACCATGGAATACCTATCAACCAGTATAGGTTGTATCATGTTGTATCCCCATGGTCGGTTTAATCTCCAGTGATTTAGTGGAGGTCCTGTATGTTGCTCAATCCCCAACGTTTGGTCGCTAAAACATGCTAAAACCGACCAATATTCGAGAATACATTTTAGGACATTGGCTCAAGATCATTGAGCTGCAAAAATGGATGGTTGAACAGAGACTGATTTGCGGTTGGGTCCAAAACCTTTATACATTATAGTATAACATAGTATAACTATATATATATATATATTGTACATCAAGAGGAAACATGTTTTTTCCCATCAATGACACCGGAAAATACGATATCATGATGCGGATCAGATTTCAGGGACGTTTTGAATCATCCGCAGCAGGATTGTAATATGTTGTGGGAAGTTTCCAAGAGGAAAACATGTTGTCCTGATGTAGTATATGCATAATAAGATATACTGTAATGGCAACACCGGATTAGTAACCCCCCTTCACAAGGTCAGATGGACCCTGTAAGGTTTTTCCTAGTTTCCCCCTAAAATAAACGCCTCCTTGGAAGGGGTTGATTAATAAGGGAACCCTCTAGTTATTATTAATGGGGGACATGGGCTCATGGACCCCCTTTGGGAGCTATCCAAACTGATGATTTTTATAAAGAATTTAATTAGAAATCAATCATTTGGGGAATAGTTTTTTTCTTCAAGTTTTCATGATCAGCAGTGATGGGTTCTGGTGTTCATGAGGTTTCAACTTTATAGTATAGAATAAGGAAACCATTTGAGAATAAGGAGAGTTGGACCAAAAAAAACAAAATGGGATTTCAGCACTGGAGGTTGATTAATCAGGTCCAGGCAAAAGAGTTCATTAATCCAGGGGGACCACCTGTTTTTAAATTACATTTTTTTGGGGGGGGGCAGTGGGGGTTGATTAATCCGGCGGGGGTGATTAATCCTGACTTGACATATATATATATATTATGCTATTATGCTATGTATATTTGGGATGAACATCCATTTAATTTTGGATTTTGACCCATAGCCAGGGCTTTGCCATGTGGCCCCCTGGTGGCGCCAGGTTCAACCCCCTATCGTACGGAAGTCGCCAGGTTCGCTACCGCGGGTGGAGTTGTTGTTTGGATTGGGTGATTCTTGGGATTGGACACATTTGAGAACAACCAGTCGTGGGTTTTAGACGTGAAATTAAATGGTGATTTGGACCTTTTGTTTTTTTTCTGCTCAATTGTTTCACATTTGTTTGATGAAGTTCATCTTCATTTTGATTGTGACTTGGGTAGTGGTTGAACTTGGGCCTTGGGGTACTTGTACCCCAACATACCCCAGTGGGGCTAGAGGGTTCTTGAAATCGTTTGGGATGATCCCCCCTCGTTGATGAAACCTGTGCAGGTTGCTTCTTTGGCTGGTGGAGAAAAAAACGTGGAAGTAAACCCGGACCTTCCAAGGCTCAATGTGCGGAGCCTCAACGGATGAGGGAATGGAGATCTTGCAAGTTTTTGCCGATGAGATCCGTGAGGGTTTGTTGATTTAAGCAGTATTGAGACTTCTTAGAGATATTGTCAAACAAATTCAAAAGTCATTCTAAGTAAACATTCAAACGATTATATTATGTATATATAATTACATATATATATACATATGTGATATTTAATTTGGTTAACCAATCTTATTTTGTATCACAACGTCTTCTGGCTGCCTGGAACATCATGGTGCTCCTTATTAGGTCAGCTTCGTTTGGCCCGCGATTTCCACCGGGGCGATCTGTTGGGCGCGGGTAGCTATGGCCACTGAGTGGCACTGAGTGGCACTGGGCACTGCTCCAAGGTCGTGGCTCCCACTTACTAAGTAACCATTGGTAACATCCATGAAATCCATGAAAACCATGGTTTAAATAGGCATATCAACCATTGGTTAAATATCCATGAACCACATAGAATATTAAGGTCCATTAAAATATATCCAATAAACTAAGTGGGATAAATGGCTGTTTAAGTGGGATATTTACTAAGTTCATGGCCACTTGAATATCCATGAACCATCCATTAACTAGCCATTAAATAGCTTAAGCATCCATTAAATATCCATTAACCATGAACAATGACTCGATGGTAATGGACTATGCTGGAAATATATCCGGACATATCAATCAGAATATCTAATGATGGACATATAATGGGATATCATGGACTACCCTCTGGTAATGACTAACATAGCTATTGAAAATGGCTGTTTAGTTCATTGATTTACCCAATAAACATCGTGATTGTCGATAGCAAAGTGTTAGTCTACCGGAGGGTCGGTTATGTCCCTGGTTTTTTCAGTGGGATAAGTAGGGTTAATCCACTAACTAGGGTGAGCTAACCTACTTACTGGGATGAGCCACCAGCAACCAAAAAGATTGGGATCCTGGGGATATCATGGAGATATCCCCTATAAATGGAGGTTTCTAGCTGGGATACATGGTGTAATAGATGATACCCGGCTTCATCTTAAAAGCGGTCTCATACTTTTCGGCATCGATGGCGTGAAAAGTTGGATTAGGTTGACCGACCCATTTTGGGGGGATGTCCGATCCAACAATCTGGATCTACCCATTATGTTTGGATTCCATCACAAACCACATATCATGTTTGACCCTGGCACATATACTAAGGGTTGCCCTGAGGGATAGCCTGAAGTTCCACGTTAGAATTCAGGAGTGTAAAGGTGGTTTTGGTTGGGGTGAACATGTGGAACAGGTTTCTGCAATGAAAACATGTGGGGTAAAATGGGACGTTAAGCTTTGACTTGTTCCATTGCAATGCAAGGCCTTACAGGCGACAGCAGCTCACATCCGGATGTCAACTAACTTCGAGATCCAATCTGGTGCTAGAGCGGAACTTCTTGCCGTTTGAAAAAGCGTTGGAACTTCAAAGAAATATGGGATTTTAAGCAATCATGGGGAAATCAACTGATAGGGGTTATGGTCAGTGTGAGCATTAAAGACGGTGAACTTAAGCAAAATCATGATTTTGTTGTGATTTTAGGGGATAATTGCATTCCAAAATTAGCTATCCAGAATTCCCCTCCTGATTGGTTGTGAAATAAGGTGGTTTCAAACCATTTGGTTTATTGGTGATTATTATAATGCGTCTTATATGTCTCTATCTATAATGTCAAGCCTGGATTAATAAACCCCGTTTACGGCTGTTTAATTGGGACGGTACCATATTTATGTTCCATTTAAAGTGACTATTTGGAGGGTACCCCCTAATTAATAAACCATGGTACCATATTTATATACCATATTTAAACCATATTTTATACCATGGTACCTTTTACCATTTAATAAATCTATCTATTACCATGGTTTAGTCCCATCCGGGGTTGACACTACATAGACCATGGTGACCATATAGTCAACCGTTGTGTGATGGGATGGACTATCCCCAAATGGTGGGATTTATTGGGTTGCCAGGGCTGACGCTGATTGGTTTGATCATTATACGGTTGATTGCGATGGCATACGATGGCTTTCATGATGATGGGGTCAGTCATTGCTGCGGGTGACTGTGATGCGATGGCTTCCTTGATCTCTGGATTATTGGGGTCAGAATCCTAACGACATGTCATTATCGATGAATTTTGAGGCAACTCTGGAACAATGAATCATCAATCTGTGGAACAAACTGAAAAAAGGTGGATATCCAACACACGTGGTTCGTGGAGGATATTCCTGCAACATACTACTGCAACCAACAGGGAGATTGACCAACCAATTGAGGGACGGCCTGAGTGTACTACCAAGCTAAACGGGTTTCCCCACGATCCCCTTGTTGGGTTCGTTGAATTTAGGGCTGTTCCCACGTGTGTGAACCTGGCAACCTGGTACCTGACAGGGAATCCCACTCCATCCCGTGGTTTATGGCATCTTTTTGAACATTTGCCACTTGATGGGTATCATAACTATGGAAAATCACAATGTTTAATTGGTAAATCAACTATAAATGGGTATTTTCCATAGCTATGTTAAATTACCAGAGGGTATGCCTCGCCCCATGAAAAATCACTTTGATTATAATCAATCAGGTCTCAATAATCAACTCTAGTGACTCTAGTGATATAGATAAGATATCATTAAAACTCCCCATAGACAACATTCCCCATTGTTTCGATATCCCTCTAGTTCTCATGAACAAATCCATCCCTAATTGGCGTTACGCCGTAGGTTGTGTTTTTGCTGCTCGCCGCAAGACCACCGGTGAGATCATGGCGGTGAAGGCAGAAAAACCACTGGCGGTTTTTAGCGGCAGAAGATGGGGATTGAACACTGGGAAAAAAAAACAACGAAATGATCATGTCATCATGTCATCAAAATGTGAGTAATATGATAGGCTGAGAAAAAGGCTGAAAAGTGTTAAGCAATGTCAAATATAACTGGTTGGTGGTTCGGAACATTTTTTTTATTTTTCCATATATTGGGAACAATAATCCCAACTGACTTTCATATTTTTCAGAGGAGTTGAAACCACCAACCAGATAAATATGTAGCACTCGAAGCGGGAGTTTTCCATCTGATGGGGAGGTCACCAGTTCACGTGTGCAGCGGTGAAGGGTAGACAAGCCATCCACCCAGTTGGCAACTTGCTATAGTTACTAATTATAGTATAAACCATCCACAATATGTTCAATCCAGCTATAAATGAGAAATGATGATCACATTTATTACCCAGAAAAAAAAAAAAAATCGGACTATTTAAGCGAAGCAGAAGAAGACTCTTCACTTAGACTTGACTCCATGGCCAGGCCAGGCATATCTCAAAGAAGCAGGCTTACTCCATGTCCATTTAGCATATGTCAACAATAATGTAGGCTTATGAATCTAGTCTATTGAGATGTATACTAATTGCAATCATTACATATATATGATAATTATATGTTTTTTTTTAATGGCAACCCGGCAACCCCTGAAAGATAGAAAAGTAAGACCCTACAAAAATAGTGGCAATGTCCTTTTTTCTTTTTGTTTTGGTTCCTATATATAGTATATATAGACAGTGTATGTGTTGTATAGTACCCCCAAAAAGATGAACGGTGTTTCCAGGATGCTATAGATAAACAATGCTTGATATTCCAGAAGCAGTTTCCCATTTTTCGGCATTTGTCTGAGGTTTGCTATGCTGCATAGATACATTACTGTACCCTCTGGTTATTCAACACAGCTATGCAACATGGCCCATGAAAGTAGATGATTTCGTATAGGATCCACCTATGAAAAACATGATGATGTTCCAATAGCTGTGTGTCATCTAGATGTTTAGATATTAAACATGGTGATTTTCCAGAACCTATGTTTATTTCTAGATGGTTTATGATGATTTATCAATTAAACATGATGATTCTCCATAGTATTTAGATGGAAAATCATCATAAATCAATCTAAATCATTTGTTTATAAGGATCCTATCACATTTTTCTTTATCAGATAGGAGATGAGATTTGACACCGTTGAGATTCTGGCCGATCCTGGCAGGAGATGCTCTTGGATCGTGCGGGAAGGACAAAAGAAGAGAGGGGAGACCGGTCACTTGGACAGGAAGAACTATGGGATTTACCCTCTGGTAAATTAACAGTTGGACCCTGAAAATAGCCTAGTTTTAATGGTTTCACTAATCTTCCAACCCCGATGACTGCCAGGGTCGAACTGTTAATTTACCAGAGGGTAAGGGGACTGAATTGGGATTGAATGGGAGGGATTTTTTATGGGTTGTAATTGGATTCCATGGAATTTATATAACGAGATTGACATGTGTGATTTAATTCGGATTTAGTGGGATTGGATTAAACATTGATAGGATTCAATATTTGATTTTAATGGAATGTAATGGAATGTAATGGAATGTAATGGAATGTAATGGAATGTAGTGGGTTGTGATGGAATTTTCATGAGATTTTACTTGGAATTAATGGGATCTAATGGGAATTCAGTGGAATCTAATGAATATGGGTTTGTCATTGTTTGTCATTAAAAGTGGGGATATAATACAAAGTTTGATGGGATATGCATGGGGATACATATATATATATATATATTATTATACGTGTATATATATATATATATACATATGTATATATACAGGATTATACGGGTATATCGAGTTCCGATAATTTATCTATGGAGGGTCATCATTCTTAATATGTAGGTAATTCATCGAAGTAAATGTACATTTTCTATAATCCATAGCTATATATATATATATAATGACCAGGGGGTCCCAGAAAACATTTTTCTCATTTTGGGATACTGCATAGATGTCGTATGGTGACTCTAGGTGGACTCATAGAGCCATGGTTGATGAGATTTGCTGGCGAGCAACTGGTGCGAATGGGTTACTTACAATGGGTTAGCCAGGCGAATGTGGGAAAGGTCATTGACCAGTGACTTCTCAAGATTCCAATTTAGCGAATGATTCGTAAGAAATAAACCTGATATGTTTGTACTATCTCGACAAGTAGCTATAGCATGCTATAGTATTCCTCCTGTTTTCATCAAAAATGGTAGCTGATTTGAAGCAATCTGGCCTTTGACTTGCCAAGCGGCTGCCGCGCCTGCGAATGTCCAGAAGTTTATGGCCGTCTTCGGGGGGAACAACCCCGAAGAAAAGCGCTTTTCGGGACCCTTGAGTTCAACTCTGGAGGTGAAAGCAAAGGTGAAAGCAAACATGTCTGTGGCATAAGTGGGCTCTCAACCTGATTTTCATGACTCACGCAACCGACCAGCACATTCTTGGCTAGAAACACAAGCTATTGAGGGCTGTCAAGCATCTATTCCGGCGACCCAATGTTTGGGTTTCTGGTTGGGTACCCTCTGGTAAACTAACATAGCAATGGAAAATCACCATTTTCAATGGGAAAATCCACTATAAATGGTCATTTCCAATAGCTATGTTAGTCATTACCAGAGGGTATCTTGTTTTTAAGGTTGACTCCCGCAGTTGATCCCATCTGGTGAACCACTGGTGAACTCCCCAAGGCTTGTGCGCTTGACGCGTGAACTTCGCCTCTGTGAACAGTGACTCGGAAGGAGAAGTGGGTCAAGCTGGGATGGGTCGTTGACCACCCAGATTTTACTATGGATGGTTTTTAATTAAACCACCAAAATTCATGGTTTATAAGTTTATAGCACCCATAAAAATGGTGATGTTGGGGATGTTTTTTTTTGCCCACACTACATGAATATGTGTGTGCAATACATGTTTACACATGCTGCAATATGTTTCACGACCATTCCTGGGAATAGTGATGAATAATTGCTAAGCCAGCAGGAAAGGGATATGTTTGCCGGGTATCTAAGATTGGCCATGGGAATAGCGTCACTTGCTCAAGAATTATTTTGGATATGATGATTGAGTAGCAACAATAGGTACAAATAAAGAACGCATTAACAACAAAAAAACATACAGATTTAGATTTAATTTGATCCAATCCGTTTTTTGTGATATATATATATATACATACATACATACATACATACATACATGGTGGTTTTCTCAAAATGATCCCCAAAACCATGGGTTTTAATACAAACATGGTCGCGCCGTTTTGGATGATTTGGGGGTAGCACCATTTTGGGAAATCTCCATATCGGAGTGGATACTCCGAAAACCCAGAAGAGTTGTCCAGGTCTTGTGCCAACCCCTGGACATGTCAGTAAATAGCATCACTCATAACACAACATGACATCATAGAAACATAATTATTATAAACAGTACATGTCTATTGTACATTGAACATAGATGAATATAACATGATATGTGATGATATGTATATATATAATTATATACATATGCCTAGAGCATATGATATATACAGTTCTTGGTTTTCCCCCCCACACCAATCCTTTTTCGCCCAGGTTAGAAGATCCGTACATCGTTAGTTACTATGGGCATGAGTTTGTGATGGGCGCGCAGGGTGGTCCTCTGCTCAGCTGATAGTGGCCCTAAGCCGGCCTTGGAAGCAAAATGGATGTGTCTGAAAATGGGGTAAAGCCATGTTATTGATTATTATCTATTGATTATTGATTATTTTTATATTTATTGATGGATCTAACTGGATAGTAAACCTCCCGATTCATTTCTAATTATCTAATTATAATTTTTGTGTGTCGGGAGTGGGGAACATGACGTTCCAACCAATGCATCATCATAAAATTATGTAAGTTTCCCAGATTCTTTCGACAAAACCAGATGGCCCTGTTTGAAAACACCAGTGTACCCCAAGCCCGCTGCTTCATCATCCCTATGAAAAAATAGCGTTGCTGTAAAACCAATGGACTATACTGGACCTTAGACCTTCGGACAAAGTCAGTTGGCTGAGGCCCCGAAAAGCTACATTTGTTTTTAGAATACTGCAGTGGTGGAAGTTTAGCCGCGTCCCTTGGCGATGGGTGCATCTGGGATCATCTGGGGCTCCGGGTGAACATTGGGACCAATGGTCCTGGAATTTTGATGATGCAGGGCAAATATGTATGTTATATAATGTTATATATATATAGTATTATATATATAGTATTATATATATATATATATATACTAGTACATAGCATTACATAGGAAACCGCCTATTTTGCATGCTGAATTTTTGTCCTGGCTTTCTGTTCTCGCTTAGTTTGCACCGTGATTTTTAGTGCCTTTTTAGTGGGACGACCTGGCGACCGAAAAGTTGGAGAGCTGACAAGCTGGTGGTAATTTTCCAGCGTATCTCAGTGCCTAATGTGGATAAAATAATGCCATGTTTACCACAAAAATGACTGGGAATGGTTTATACCACCTATATTTATGGTGATGACTGGGGGATAGTTAAAAAAAATGTTGTAGCCACATGAAAGTGAGTCTAGTGAGTCTAATACCACCTAATAATATGGTTTAGACCACCTAATTATAAAGATGGTGATGATTTGGGGGATGGTTTATTGTTTTAGCCACATTATGCATGAAAGCCCATGAAAAATGTATATTTGAGGCTAAAACATGGTAAACTGCAACATGTTCCCTTAAATCCATCCATAGTAGCTACAGGTGCGTTTTTCCTCAGGCTGTTTAGTTTCATGGCCACATTCCAGTTTGGGATCAGTTGCAAACCGCAACCCTGGAGACAATTGACACATGTATCCACTGTATCCACGTTTTTTGGAAGGTAGGTCAAAGTGTGCACAGGGGCCCAAAAAAGGATAGAAGAGTCCTATCCTACCATTCTTCTCTATTCATTTAATGGTGTTGTTTTCCTTTTTTTGGGGGAGACAGCTATACTGCAATTCCCTCGTTGTTTGCTTTGGCTTGAGAGACATTGGTATACAACCATTACCTTATTTGTGTAGTTTCCACATACCGCAGATATATCCGATTCTGGACTTTTATGGACTGTTTAAATGACTTTTAATTGTTATCCACAATAAGTAGACAATGTTCATAATAACAAACCTTACCCTCTGGTAAACTAACATAGCAATGGAAATTCACCATTTTTAAAGGAAAATCCACTATAAATGGCCATTTTCAATAGCTATGTTAGTCATTACCAGAGGGTAATCCACTTATTTAACAAGTATCAAAAGCTTGGGATCCAGACGCTTTTCCGATCCAGGCAGCTCCGGACCTATGGGCCGGTCAGCGAGGAGTTGTTGAGGACGTGATGGAATGTGATGATGAGTGTGCCAAAAGAAAGGATGATAATGGACAATCCAATGGCACAGGATAGCATAGGAAAGATGGAAATAATATGAAATAATATGAAATAATATGAAATAATATGAAATAATATGAAATAATTATATGAGCCACGTTCTAAACCCTTGTGTTCATGTTAAGCAAAGGGCCCGGTGTAAGGGTGTGGCGTAAGCAAAACTGTGGTGCGCGTAAGCCAGCGTAAGCTCCGCGTAAGAGAAGATATGCGCGTAAGCAAAACCGGTGCGCGCGTAAGCAAAACGTAAGCAATGGCTAAGCATTTCCTTATTTGGTGCCAGGATGTAAGACATTTAGAACATGGCTCATATGATAATGATACTGTAATATTCCAGAATGGGAAAATTGATTGGTTGTATATAGTAAGACTGGATAACAATGGGATATCAATAGACAATAATGGGAAAATGATAGGATATGAATGGATTTACCCTGCCGTGTCATCAAACATGGGCAGCTGGGAAATCCCCTTTAACATCTTGAACTGGAGGTTTATAATGGTTTATAGCTGGAGCTGGGAAAATCATCGAACTCAATGGTTGATTTTCCCGTGGTTGCTATGCTTGACACCCGGAGGGTAAGCTGGCTTGCTAAAGATGGCCACGGGTAAGCTGGTAGCTCGGAGAATCTCGGAGAGTCGTGTTTAAAATCACCGAAGAACTGAAGGACATGGTTTAAGCAGCGTCGGGTGATAGTCATGTTTTTAATCATGATAAAAGTCCATGGTCCATTGAAGAAAATCAAAGTCCAGTTGAAAATGATGTGGGGTCACCATGGTGGCGGAAGGTTTTCGGTGGTGTCTTGCAGATGTTTTTCACCAGCTGGATAGGTGTTCACCAACGATTAAATGGTAGATACATTGATACATCTATAGTATCTATAGTCTACAGTTAGATATTAAACCAACTTACCGGGTTCTGCAAAAAAAACAGCCATCCACAGGAAACTACATGGATACCAGCAACTTACCCCCACAACCCCCAGCTTCAATGTTGTGATCGGAAGTGCCGAGCATCATCAACAGAAATGGCTCTTTTTTTTGAAGGCCGCCAAACACAAAATTCAGAAGACAACATTGAATTGGGGGACGAGAAAAACATGACGTCTGTGGTGTGGTACTTCATGGGATGGCTGTTTTTGTTTGAAGAACTAACTATAAGTGGATTTAAATGGTAGATACATCATCTATAAATATCTATAATTTGTATCTATTATAGTTATATATAGATATTAAACCAACCAACTTCGTAACTTCGCCCATGACCTGCGCTGCAGGAAATATACCCAGCAGTTGGTTTCCGGACTCGTCTACCTGCACTCCCGAAGTCCTCCAGTGGTTCATCGAGATCTGAAATGCCCCCCGGTGGAACGGCTGGCTCCAAGGTAGACATCTGAGGACTATACCCGGTGTCCACAAATGGGGGATCCAATTGGAAAATAGTTGTTTTATAATGTTTTATAGTGGACAAATCGGAAAACCAATTGGATGATGGCTCCCCCCATTATAGAAACCCTCGAATAGATGTAGATGTTCCATAAATGTTTATCATCTTAATTGATATTGTTTCTGTTTGAACAACGACATGTCAGAAGATCCGAACCTCCTCATGTCCGATGGCTTCAAAGCAATCTCACAAGAAATCATAGGAACTAGTTGTCATTTGGAGGTTTCCTGAAATAGGGGTACCCCCAGTCATCATCCATTTATAGATGGATTTTCCCTTATAAACTATCCAGCTATGGGGGTACCCCCGTTTATGGACACCTCCGGATACATTTGGTACATCAATGGTGTTCAGTTTTCCATTCTGCCTGGAGACGCAGGTGCAAACCTTTTGTTGACGCACAGTGGAGATGCCTCTTCCACTGAAAATTGGGCGCTGGTGTTGTGGAGGATCTGGGCGCTATCTATGGGGATTTTATATTGGAATTGTCACTGCGGGACCATGCCACTGGAATTTCCAAGTCCTGTTCATTTCGGAGCCCCATTCAGGGAATATGTGTGCTTTTCCATGGAATATATTAAGTGGGGTTATCTCACACTACACAGTGATCCGCTTAGTGATGGTGATGTTAGTTATTAAGCCATATTAACCCCCATTAATTAAGCCATTAATATCATAGTAGATATTATTAAGCAATTCATTGATATATGATGGATATATGATGGATATATGATGGATATATGATGGATATATGATGGATATATGATGGATACTGTATATGATGGATCATTATAGTTCGATATATCCACCGTGAAGCCAGTTATTGGAAGTTTGTAGATCTCATCATTATGGCTACTTGGAAGTGCAGTTCCAGTGAACTAAATGGATAGAAACAACAGACTATAGTTAAAGGGGTTTAATATCCCAAGCAATAATAAATATAGTTTAAGAGTTTCTAGTGGTTAGTTATAGTGGTTAGTTACTCCCAACTTCTCATAACTTATAAGGATTTTTAAATCCCATGGTTTTTATAAAAGTTTCACCTCTGGCACCGGCACGGGTGTGTGTGTCATGTGAGGTAAAGATTGCGGACTTCGGCTGCTCCAAATGGGTCCAACCCGGTGAGTCCATGTTAGAGGCAGGTGAGTTGCTGTGGGTTCAAAGAAAGATATGGCGCTTTCCTAAGTCATGGGGGTACCCGGGTACTTTTCATCCAATAGCTGGATTGTTTTCCATGGTTTTCAAGCCCAATAAATGGATGGTGATAGTTAGTGGTACCCCGAAAGAAGTCATAGGAACTAGTTGTCACTTGGAGGTTTCCTAAGTCATGGGGGTACTCCCAGTTTTCATCCATTTTTTATTGGGATTTTCCCATGGAAATAAGCAATCCAGCTATTGGGGTACCCCCATGACTTAGGAACCCCCCATGATGTGTATAGTCATTGAGTCATGTTCTTTCTCGGATCTCGCCTCGGCCCAGAATTCGGTGGCGGGTTCAATCTTTTGGATGGCCACTTGGTGCAATTTTGGACCAGCTGGGCTCGAGTCGTGACACCAAAATGGTCCTGGTATCTCCAAACCTGACCATGTTTTCAGAGGCACTGGAGCAACGCCTGAGGTGATTTTTCCTTAGTGGTTTCCTTTTGAAGCCATGATCACAGGGTAGATTATCTCGCAATGTTGCTGGCGTACATGTCCTATTTTGTATGCAAAGAGAGCGGTAACTCCTCTTTTTTCAGATTTTCACTGGCCAAAACCGTCCAAAGCCGTCCGATTCTTCCATGCTTCATTAGATTGGTTGAAGGGAACATTTTAAGTGGACATCCCAATCACTTTGACGGTATAAAACCAGCCAATTTACGGTGAAGATGTCCCCAATTTATCCATGAACTCACGACATTGCCATACATTTCCTCATGATTATTGATAGCTAAAGCATGTTAAACATGGTAAAACCATATAATAACCATATAATTATTACCCTCTGGTAAACTAACATAGCCAAGGAAAATGGCCAATTTATAGATGGTTTACCTATTAAAAATGGTGATTTTCTATGATTTTCTATTTGTTGACTATCTTCCACTCCCCGGGTTTCTGGTTGCCGAGGCGCCTGAACTTTTTCGAGGTCATGGCAAATTGACCACGTCCTCTGACGTGTGAGGCTCAGAGCGTTTCAAGGCACAAGCCATCTTTCCTATGCTGGGTTAATATGGTGGTTATAATGGTTAAGTTAATGGTTAAGTTAATGGGTAAGTTAATGTTATATATATATATATATGTAATGTTATATAATGTTATATAAGTCAATGGTTAAGTTCCTGGTTAATAATGTCCCAACACCTCTTCTATGTCATGTTTATGATTATTACACAACTTTCATGAGAGATTCCCATGTCCAAAATGGTTGGTTTCCTGGATGGTTTACTCTTAGGTTTACCACATGAAACCAGATGTTTGTAGATCATTACGGATCATTATTAGTGGGGTATATATCCCCATTTAATGATGACTACATCCCCATTATTGCTGGTAAATCTCTGTGTTGATGGATGAGGCAGGTGGGGTTCATTTGTTTTATTGTAATGCAGATAATTACCAGACATTTATTGGTAGAAAACCAATATTGGTGGTTCTATCCCCAGATGTTTTGGCTTTGAAAACCCTCGAACCCCATTTACAGTTGATTTACCTATAAACCATATTTACAGTTGGTGATTTTCCATTGATTTACCAGATTTTACCCAGTAAAAATGCTGGATTTCCCCTTGGAAATTGACACGTTTAGACAGGGGAAATCGCCTCGGCTCGGCGCTGAGATTTGGTCTCTGGGCTGCTGTGTCCTGGAAATGGCCACCGGCTGCGCCCCATGGGCTGAACGTCGATTTGACAATATTTTGCAGGCAGATTTTTCGGGGCCGATTTTTCTGGGCCCCTTTTGAAAGGAAAAACTGGGAGAATCGTGCGGCGATTTATGGTGATGAAAATGGGGGATTGATGTTGATTTTGCTGGATATTTATGGTTGCATATGGTTGCGATCGATGTTGATTTATGCATGGTGTCCTGATGTTAGTGCCACTGGTGGGTTTTCTCAAGTTCTTGCTGGTGTGGCAATTGGTAGGGATCAACTTCTTGCACTGGATCTGCGGATGTTGGATACCCCCAAATGGCGGGTGATCTTGCTGCAGTTCATCAGCGGACATTTAAAAAAAACGATTCCAGATTTGAGATCTCAGTCATCTTCATGTGTGTTTGGGAGAAACACACACACACACACCATGTTTTTGAACTCTCCGATTCGGTCAAGGAAATTCCAACAGTAAGAACAATACATTCGCAAGTCCAAAAAAAAAATAACCGAAAGGTAATTTGAGTCTACTTGTATTATAGTTGGATTTTACCTATCCAGTGGGTTAGGAAGGAGCTAAAGAACTAGGGGTATCCATCTATTCCCAAATAAATGGGTAGCCAGGGATCTATGGATTCAGTTTCCCAACGCCAGGCCTGCCATGTGATCGCCAATACAGAAGAGCTACCGACCATCCCAGTCGAACTCTCAACCAAGGACTGGAATGGGACTTCAATGAGAATTTCACGGTTTTTATTTAGGTTTTTTAAGCCAACTTTAAGCATCTAAAATTTCTGATATGGGAATTTCATGGGTTTTTTTTCGGCAGTTTAACCGGCATGGGAGATCATGGGAATATCACCAGTGATGATGGATTTCCAACAACTGACAGGTGCGATTGGTTGGTTCACCAATCGGAGATGCTAATTTCAAGCAAAATATCTTGGAATTACTTGAATGTTGCCTGAAGTTGGCAATTAGTATAGTACAGTAATTATTCATAATTATTCAACTATACATGCAATATATGCTGTAGATTTCATTCACCAAGTGCAAAATGATATGAAGTGGCACCTGTACTGACCTGAGTATCTTCGTTCAACATTTTGAGTGTGATGACCCAGAGCCTCCAGACCTGAGTGGTTGTGTAGGGGAACTAGATTGTATACAGATATCCAGGTGATAAGTGGGGACAGATTGTCACCACATTAGAGTTCTTGCCAGATTACCAATTCCAAAATTGTCAGGCTTCTCAGCAAATTCCTAACAAACATGTCATTTCACGCGTTGGTTCTCGAACCAAAAACAAAGACCGCACATTCCACCCGAGCCCGAGCCCAAGATGCGAAACACAGCCAAGCATGAGGGGGATGGAAACTAAGATCCATGATTTTGTTATAGTTGATTTACCCATACAAAAAAATGGTGAGAAATTCTTTCCATCGTTTTTTTTCTATGTTTACCAGAGGGTTTACCAGAACTTCCGGGGAAGCTCCAGCCTTTGCTCTATGGCCATGGCAGCCATGGCAGGCGGCTGGTCTGATTCGAAGTTGCCTGAAGCGCAATCCCCCAGATCGGTACGGACGCCGAGCCAAGGGTGTGGGTCGCTGCGGGTGCTGGGTGAATTTCACAAACAAACCAACGAAATATCGAATGGAAAAGGATGGAACAGGGAAAGGTTTCAATCCAGGATGGAATCACGGAATCAATCAGAAACTCATCATGATTCATGATATTTCATCCTGATATTCCAGCATATTTCATCATGATACTCTAGATATTCAATGATATATTTCATCATATTTCATCATGATCATATTCATCACATCCGCCCACGTCGTGGTTTTAAGATGTTTAAACTGTCTCAAAAATGGGATGATTTCAATATGATTTCATCATTTTTCCGAGATTTTCCTGGTGGATCAACATGGATCAACAACCTCAGGTTCCCCATGGATTTTTTTCACAAAGATCCTCCACATTTTTTTGCCATGTTTGTTCGTAAAATCCCATGAATTATTGGGATACCTTGGAAGACTGTACATCTTAGTATGGTTTAATATGGTTTAATACATTAATACTAAGTCAATACTCTCTCCACGCGGATTTAAGCCACCATATCCCAACCAGCTGCCATAGCTGATGACCTTTTCTCGCTTTTGTCAAGGCCGACGGCACAGGAACTCAATAAGAGTTACAAGAAGAGCTTGAGTCTGTGTGCATAAAGGGTTGGGATGTCCCACTTGGATTTAAACATGGGATTTTTCAAGATGGATACATAGCTGATTGATGCTGATTGATAATATGTTGGAAAAACAATGCCATGTTTACCATCCCCCATTTTACCATTTTTATGGGTGGTACGGTGGTATAGTTATACCATTCCCAGTCATGGATGGTTTATGGCATTGTTTTAACCACATTAGCTGATTTATGATAGCTAAGTTGGTTGATGACTAGCTGACTTGATGTCCCACTTGGTTTTTTTTTCCTGGTCAAAATGAACCAAACTGGGCTGGTGGTGTTTAGAACTGGCTTTCTGACACATTCCTAGAGGATGATTATCCGCTTTGAGACCAGCGGGATGAGGGATGCTGGCAGGATACAACTTAGCTTTCTGGTAAACTAACATAACTATGGAAAATCACCATGTTCAATGGGAAAATCCACTATAAATGGTCATGTTCAATAGCTATTTTGACATAACCAGAGGGTAGCTTTCTGGGGAGATCAACGAAACATGCGTCCTGGGAATCTTTGGGATCTATGTCCCACTACCTTTTTTTTGACAGTAAGGGTTACATATTGTCCATGTCCTCTGGTAATTTAAGAATTTTAACATGGCTACAACACATCACATTTTTTAGTAGGTAAATCATGGTAAACAATCTCTAAATGGACCATTGTTCGAAAGCTAATTATGTTTGTACACCTGTTCGGGGTGGAGCCCATTGACACACCATGACTCCTGAAACTGTATTGTTGATGAGTGATATCCCATTAAAAAGATCCCAGTATCATCCCCATCAAACACCATGAGAATTCCATTATATCAATGAACATTAATATTTAACTAACCATGACTAATGATTAACCATAGATTCACCTCAAAATATCACTTAACTCTGAAAACTTGGTATGCGCCTGATCCCTGGGACATACATCACCCTTGCCACGAACAATTTCAGCAGTACGAAAACGGCCATGCAGACCGCATGGCGAGAAGAAATGCGCTGTCCAAACGCCCAAGCTGTGGAAAAAAGCCTTACGCCCAGAATATGTGAGTTACCATATAGGCTAACTGGGAAGTTACATGAAATAAACAACGAACTTGTATTGCAAATTATTGTATAATGTCTGTTGGATCTACCTTGTTTGGATCTGTTTCGGAATCTGTTAGTTTTTGAATTAATTGCCTTTAACGACCGTGTCCGAGCAGTCCTTTTGCACAGCTTGACTTGGGGGTGCGAAGGTGGTTAGAACCATCTTCTGTTGCACTACATGTTTGAGTGATTTCAGTGCGCCCTGATTGGATATGATTACATATGCTTCGCATAGAGACCAGCCATGATCCAGGATGTTCCAGGCATGCTACCCCTCAAGCGTGGCTTCACCATGCATTCCATCAAGGGCCACAATTCGAAATGGCCTTGCAGCTGCGAAAGAACTTCGTTGAAGAGGTCATTGTGAATCGGTTTCACTTGTTTTAAGCAAAGGAATCATACATCATTTAATATATATATATATATCATGAATCAGAATTTCTCATAAATTGAGCACTTATCTCCTAATGACTATTTAAAAAAAACATATATACATATATATATATATACACATCGTATATATATATATATATCATCAAGTCACCACGCGATGCAGTAATATGGTAGAAGCATGCAAAAGCTAAAAAGTGCGTTGAAAAACGGCCTGTTTGAAACCGCCTCTTCTTGCACCACAAGTGGCATCGACAATCAAAACCCAGACCGTGAGCCGCAAAATTGCGGCACTGGGAAGGCCACCAAGGGTCACTGACGTGTGAAGACATCGATGTTTGTAACTAGTAGCGTTGAACATAAAGAAGTCCCCATTAATTGGTTGAAGGATGTTGAAGGGAACATCGAAACGGAAACCCCTTTTCTTGGGGTTGTTACATATGTTCTATTCTGTTATTCTCTAAAAACTGTTGTCCATCGATTTGTCGGTAAGGTCAAGACATTGTAGGTAGCAAGGACATTTCGCTGCAAACTCGGAGTCTTCACAAGTTGGTTTGCTCTTTTAATCACACAGATGTTGCGAACCTGTTCTTATCCAATCTTGACCGGAAAACAGGAATTGCTGCTTGCGATTGGGATAAGTGTGCACCTTTGAAGTGAAAACAAGTTGCCGATCTCTGTTTGTCCCGGCATTTGGCTTGTGGAATCCATTTCATATATTTTGCAAACGTTCCACCGCAGTAGCAGGTCAAATAGCCACACTCGAGACATGTTTCAGAACTGGCCAAAGGAGATGGACTCGTTTTTCCTATGGAAAAATCCAGTTTTTTGAACTATACAAGTATAAATCCTGTTTTCCTATAGAAAAATCATCCTTTTCCTATGGAAGAAAACCTGGTGTCATTCCTCACAGATGGAAAGAAGGAGCTCTACCGTAGCCGTAGCAGTTTTCGACATGATCAAGCCACAAGGGATTTGCACAACAGGTGACCACTGTCACAAGGGGTTCCTATGGAGGTGTCCTAAAATGAAGGTACCCCTATGTATGGATGGTTTATTTTGGAAAATCTGAACATAAAATGGATGCTTTGAGGGTACCCCCATGACTTGGGAAAGCATAAGACACATTAAGGAGCAGTGCTGTCCCAGAAAACCGCATGCAAAGTAGTAACTATACTAAAGCAGCACCCATCCCAGAACATTCACCTTACCATGATCAAACTTGTGACAGCAATTGGCAGGGATCCACAAAAATGTCTCATGTCACCAGCCAACCAAACCACTCCAACCCCAGGTTTAGCCGGGTTAGCCTTGAAAACCACTCCAACTCTGTGTGTTCGGCTTACCGACTTCATGATGGAGGTGGGCTACCGAACTGCAGGTGAAGCCACTTGGAACATGATACCCTCTGGTTATGTCAAAATAGCTATTGAACATGGTCCATTTATAGTTGATTTACCTATTAAAGCTGGTGATTTTCCATAGCTATGTTAGTTTACCAGAGGGTATATGAATTATATGATGATGTGTTGAGAATTTTCTAATCTGTAGATTCATTGAATGATACTTTGAGGCTTCCGAAAAGTCATGAGTAGTCATGGGGGTACCCCTAAATTGTGTTTGTTTTTCCATGGGGATTTTCCATCGTAAACCATCCAGCTATTGGAGTAGCCGCATGTGACCTCCAATGGTCATCGCATGTCATCGCATGTCATCGCACGAGGCTGAAGCACTGTGAGTCCATCGTGGAGCCCAGGATCACCATGGAATTTCATCTATCATGAAGAAATATCATATGAACTCATGAATAAAGTCTAACATAAAAGTCGTGTATAAAAACTGTATAATATATATATATATATACATGATTATATGTATATTCTATATATATACTGGAATATAAGTATATATATATATACTCCATGTATGACTCATGCAGCGCAAGCTGCTTGGTGGCTTCGAAGCTCCATTTCGACATCGATTTGTGGCCGCCAGGACTGCACACAGAGAATCATGGGGGATGTCGGAGCCCCAGGGGCACCTAAAGGGGCCGCCGATTGGCCCCTTTATTCAGAGATGGTCAGATGAATCCATGTGAATTCCAGCAAATTTTAGTAGTCCACGATTTAGAGTAGATTGAGTAGATCATAGATCCCAAGATGTATCATACTGTGGATGGAAGAAATTAAACCACCAGTTGATAGATGGTTTATGTATCCCATTATTCATAGGGTTGAAAAACCATCCTTTTGGTGGTGCAGGATTTCGCAACCCACAGTATTATCATATCTACTTGGTGGTTTCACATAGCATCATATCAGATCAAATATCATCATCATATCTCTTAGTGGTTTCATAGTCTATCAACCATATTACCCTCTGATAAACGTTTACATAACTCTGGAAAATCACCATATGTTTAATATATATATATATATTTTTAACGAACTAAATTACTAAATGGCCATGTTCAATAGCGAACTGTAAGAAATTACCAGTTTAGTCGTTGGTGGTTTTCATATCAACCATCGACTAGTGCTTTGTTCAACGCCAAGGATGATGACCTGGAAAAGCAGGCCCAGGACACAAAAACAGGGCTGATCTGGGATGGCCGGGGAGGCATCTTGAACATGTTCACATCTTTATGCATGTCTATATATAATTATATATATATATATATGTTATATATATATATGGGTATATGAATAGATGTTCTACTCCATACATATATATATATATATGATTACATGATTACATGATTACATGATTACATGATTGTATAGTATTATATATACATACATGTATGAAAACATATTATATATATAGGCAATATATACTACGTGCATTTACATTCTATCTGTGCGCCTGGCGGGAGGAGATGGCCGAAAAGGCCTTGCCGAGCAGTTCCTGGGATGGAGATGTTCCGAAATGGCTGGGTTCGAAAGTTGACATAGATCTAGCATTATGTGCAATCGGTAGTGGTTAAGCATATGCACATATATATATATACTACACATATATACAATCATATACAATTATATGATGTGTTTATACATGAGGTGGTTAAGGATAGATAACGCCACATCCCTGCTCTTGTCAACAGCATCCGCATGATAATTCGAGATGCAGCCACTCTGTATCATGATTTATATATATATATATATATGTGTGTGTGTCTCCAAGCTCAGTTGTTTTGTGGTTGCAGCGTTTGTTTTTTTAATTCCAAGTGGGATGATGATGATGATGATGATGATGATGATGATGATGATGATGATGATGATGGTCATGGTCATGGTCATGGGCATGGGCATGGTTACTGTTGTTTGTGTGTCCCCCATTGATTCTTTTCACGAGATTCCTGGAACTCCAACATCCATTATCTTTGAATATGTTTGATAAAACACCTACTTGGGTATATGTATATATGGGGGTTTCTTAAAATGGGTGACCCCAAAACCATAGGTTTCGATACTAAAATGGTCTAATTTTGGATGATTGGGGGTATCCCATTTTAGGAACCAAATATATATATATATACATACATAATCATATAGTTATAAATATATATATATATATATATTATACATTAGCTGGTTGGACCCCCACATGATGCTTAAACCAACCAATCATCTACTTTGAATGCCCCTCATCATCCCAATTTTCATCTACAAACATTTACAGATCTTGATGAGAATCCCCTCGACGATGTTAGTTGGTCAAGCTCTCTTGCATGGTCGTCCGGCTGATGTGTTCGGTGGTTTTATCTAGTGTTCAATCATCATTTTGGGATGAATTGTGAAAAAAAATTATTCCCAGTTTTTCTTTTCCAACTGTCCGAGGAAGGTTTCTGTTCCCATTGGAAAAGCCATGGGTTTTCCAGCTTTTCCAACTCCCAGGGTTTTTGTCTTGGGGACGACTGGGGACTTGAGGAAGCTACCACAGCTCGGAAAAACAGCCGCCGTGACAAGTTGAGGTCTCCCAGAGGCTGCGCGACGGGCCAAGATCCCAGCGATCAAACAGAAGATCTTGGAGCGGCTGAAGGTGGGATCCAGGTCCTCCAGGTCCTCCAGGTCCTCCAGGTCCCCTGAAAACATACGGTGGGTGGCTTTTAGCCATGGAAAAAACCATGGTGGATATGGTGCTTCTGTTCCCATGAATTCGAAAGATATGGAACAGCCATGATCTACTTGATGATTCTTACTGGAACGTAAGCATCAAAAGTGGTGAACACGTGTGATCTAGCCAACAAAACTGGGAAGTTAACCATCGAAGATTGTGATTGATCATCTCCCGAACTAAGATGACGAGCATGCAGATAGGTTGGTGAGTTGGTGGAAGACAATTCTTTCCAAGCTTAAAACACATGCTTATTCTCAGGGTCAAACTGTTGGTGTGGGGATGGTACTGTCGATGTTTTGGGATCGGGATACCGGGGCATGGGTGGTATACCAACCATTCTGGTTGAAGTGATGCTTAGTAGGGGGAAGCATCCCAAAATTAATGTGATTTACCTCAGTCACTTATAATTCAGCCATATATTGATTATGTTGTTGGTTATGGTTATACCATATATATATATATATATATGTATATATATATATATATGTATATGCATACATACACCTTCTATTAAGACTGGTTAGATTCAATCAAAGATGATCATGGATCTGTGGTGCTGTGGAAGGAGATCAGGTATTCAATCCTCCTTATACACTGCCTAAATGGTTCCAATTATATGCGTAAATCTGCCCCTAACCCCTAGTTCTGGGGTGTTTTTAATTCGGGAAAGGAAAGGGGTTCTTGGGGTGTTGATTGTAATTTACTGGTAGCCAGTCACAGGTTCTAGTCCTCACGATGGCACCATTTGTTACCCAACATCCTTCGGGATAATTTTGGAGACCCTCATTTGATGTGGCTCTGCGACTATTTCTAGCTTTCTGAGAGTCTGGAATTGAAGAACTTCATGCCGTTGGGTCACCTCTTGCTGTAAGAATGCGGTCAAATTGCTGTGCAGGCTGCAGATAATTACATATAGTTTCATATAATTTCATATAATTACTTGTTTTTCACGATAATGGACCATTGCAACAAGATCATGGGATTGATTGGATGATTTATTGATCATGATGTATCAGAAAATTATCCATGATAAATGTTATTGCAGTTATGATTATCCCATGATCAATAATTTATCCATGATAACGTTGTTATCACCATGACAACATCCATGGCTCGCATTTCTGAAAAACCATCCTGCAGGCGCAGAAGGTGGAAAACGCCTCGAAGCCTGCGCCGAAAGCAGGCGAGGAGCTGGTGTGGCAAAGGACCTGATGGTGGACTAGGACTTTTTGCTTTAAAATCTTAGGCACTTGGGTGTTTAACCATGTTGAACCATGTTGAACCATGTTGAACCATGTTGAACCATGTTGAACCATGTTGAACCATGTTGAACCATGTTTAACCATGTTGAACCATGTTGAACCATGTTTAACCATGTTTAACCATGTTTAATCATGTTTAACCATGTTTAACCATGTTGAACCATCAAAAACGGAAGTTTTGCATGATTCAGCCATCATATATGGGGTGTTCACCCATGAACAATTCGCATCGGCAGCGTCAGGAAATAGAATGCTATGATGTTATGGTGTTTTTGTAAAGCCTGAAAACAGGTTTTTGTTTCCATCCAAGTGAGGGAATATGTTCAGGTACCTTCAGGTACCCAGCCCTCCAGGTTTTTAGTGCCAGCAGCCTCCAGGTGCACTGGTTCCAACATCCGTGCCAGCGCAGGTGCCATGGAGATGGTCGACATTTTTTTGAATTCTGAACGGAAGATGTTGGTGGTTAATGAATGACATTCAACTAATGAATGATTCTCATGATTCATGAAGAGATTGTGTAACTAAGTAGTATAAGTATGTATAAGTATCATTGATACTATTTGGAAGATATCATTCACATTTGACATCATTTAACTAGAATCGCCAATGAACCACTTGGTACCAATTACTCACCAGTTATTATATACTCCCCATATCATCAAATATGGCCAGCTGGCAAATCATCGAACTTGGGCAGAATACCTCTCACTCCTGGCACCGTGAAAATACCTGTCCGTAGCGCCGTAGCTATTCTTACTGACAACTATCCGTCGTGGCAGATTCCAGAAATCTTTGTCAAGAATCCCATGAGCCATCAAGCGAAGTATTGACCGACAGCCCTGCTGCTTGCTGGCCTATTTGGCCATGTTTTCCAGTTTTCCATGGCCAAAAATTGAAGGATGAACCCCAACTGGCGAAATCATGTCCATTAAAATGGTATGTGTGTTCTCAAAAATCCCGAGTTGTCAGGGAGGGTCAAACCATCAACTAGTGGATGTTTACCATTGTTTTCAATAATTGTTGGCCAATCTTTCCATTGCAACTGATCTCTATCCCTATTTGTCTCCGATGATTTTTGTGGAACTTCCTAACCAACCCATTCCAAAGGTGGTTTTCGGGTTATTGCATGTTTGACATGCTGAGAATGCTGCTTGCTGTAGTAAGTTCCTCCATTAGGGTTTTTCCCATTGATCATTGGATTATATTCTCAGTTCCGAACCAGCCACCGAGCATTATCCTTGAATGATACTCCCGTGTTGGATCAAATACTATTTCATTGTTTTCTTATCCTCCATCTGGTTCAAAGATCAGTCTATTCATCGCAAGAATCATCAAAAATCCCTATGGCCCTGATAGTCGGCTTGTCAAATCCCCGTTTTCGGCTGTTGAAATCTCCCATGTCGGGATTCAGCTAGGCTCCTGTTCAGCCGCCTCCACCTGCTGGACAGCCACCAGCACCTCCACCACCGCCCTCTGATGTGGCCTGGGGACCTGGAAAGGGAAACCATTGAGGCTTTTGGGGGTTTCCCATTGAATATCCACAATTTCAATGGTTAAGTTGACAACAACAGACCTTGATCATTGAATAAGTTCTCTTCGAGGAGAATGATCTTGGTTTTCCATATCACTCCATATCTGTGTTAATTTGCTGGAGAGTACTGCACAAATTGATGTTCAAAACCATAGGTTCTTGATTTGAAGCCATAAAGAATCAACTTTTCAATTGAAACTACAAGTTATGAACCACACCTACTATATATACTAATCGTAACACTTGTAATTGTACTAAGTTGGACGGATTTTGTTGGATGGATTTACGGAGGTTAAGGATGATCCTCCCCACCTTGTGATGAACATATTAACCGCTAGCGTTTGTAGATTTTAAGCGCGTCTAAGCCGGAAGTAGACCACCATAAAGTGGTGAATTCCGAAAGTCCAAACAGATTTTAAGTCAGAATTAGCCTCTGGTAAACAAGCTAAGAACTATGGAAAATGTTACCATTTTCAATAGCTATGTTAGTCATGACCAGAGGGTTAGTCATTGGGATGAAAGTGGTGGACATTCCGATCATCCGGCTGGAATCCAATGGTATCCCACTTTGAAAACCAATTGGATAAATGGAGATATCATGGGTATACTATTAAATAAGAGAATAACTTGGGAATAACTTGGACCTATCATTCCCATATATTCCCAATATTCCAGGTATTTCCACAATAAAGACAAGCCACTGAAACTCTATGCTGCTACTTCGCCCGTGGATCAGGGCGTGGGAGTGGTGAGACTTAGTGGTGTGGAGATCTGTGGCGATGAGCCCTGGTGCCTTGGTTGCCTTGGTCCTGTTGGGTAACCCCAATAGCTGGAGGCTTTCTTTAAGGGAACATATGGAACATCCTATGAAAAAATGGATGACAACTGGGGGGTACTTCCCTCTACAAGTCATGGGAAAGCACTTAATATTTACTTCGGTGTCCTCCCCGAAGTCGTCCAAGTCATTGGACCATTTTAGTATTGAATGCCATGGTGAGTTGGGGATCCTAAATACAAATCTCGAGCCAAAAATGGATTTTGGTGTATAGTTTGTTTGCAGAATTGCAGGGTATGTATAAATCTCTATGATAGTGGAGCTGTATAGTTAAATATAGTTAATGATCTAACATGACCACCTTGGTTCACATGGTTCAACATGTATTGTATGTTTGGTCCCATGTATCTCCCAATATACATTTAAATCCCGAACTGAACATGGATTGATGACTAATCCCTTTTACTTGCAAGAAAACACCCCATGTTTTGACCATGGCACAAAAAAGGTAATCATCTAAAATGACATCTAAAATGACCAAAATGCATTGTATTTTCCAGCAGCAGTCACTTAGATTGGGTTTCAATCTCTGAGTCTGGGGCTGGTGCGTCGTCTTTTGCCGAGCCCAAAAACCGGAACGGCACCCTGGAACCCTGGAACCCTGGAACCTTTATTGCTGTTGGGTTGCAAAGATTGGTTAATTTGGGTGCAGCCAATCATCATTCATAGTGCACTATACCCTATGGATCCAGCCGTACCTTGACAGGAAGTATGACTGGGCTATGATTTTTTTGGGGTTAGCCGTAGCTTCTCAGAAAGTATTTGGATCCTGTCAGGATACGCTCTGGTAATTTAACATAACTATGGAAAATCACCATGTTTCATGGGAAAATCCATTATAAATGGCCATTTTCAATAGCTATGTTTGTTTACCAGAGGGTAATACATGATTCACCAAAAAAGCGAATATTCACCCGCAAGAAACATATGATATATGTGATCGTCTGGGGCCCATTACTACACTCCAATTGAAAAGGCTATATGAAGGGGGGGATCCTATGGGTAAATTATCCATTATCCATAGTTAAACATAAGGATCCATAATTACCCATATAGTTATCCGCAATGACCGATAATTCTCCACAAAATTTTCCATATAATTATCCTAGTAACTATCCATGATTATTATGCACAATTATCCATTAAAAAAACCATCGATTATCCTTTATAATATGATCCTTTGGGCATCCGGCCAGTATCCTCAGGTTTGCCGATGCGGCCATCCGGAAGCGCCTGAGGGAATCCGTCAGGATCCCAGCTGGATGATTTGACTGGATGGTTTTCCACACAGATTTCTGTGGAACTTTCTCCTGAAAAAACGTGATTTACTGTGGCTGGATGATGCTGGATGCCAGGAAAACAAAGATCCCATTTTATATCCGAGTTATAAGTGTTTTTTTTTCGTTTTTGTGGAAAACTCCCCTAAGCTCGGAACGTGTATTTTTTGATTGAGGAGAGAGATTTGCGGAGAAACAAGTTCCAAGGGTTGGTGAAGGTGAACCAGTGACTTTGTCTCCAAAAACGCTCTAGAACAAAGACTCCTTACACCCAATATAATTCGATACTTTTTCATCTAACTACACTGCAACCCCTGAATTTCAGCAGAATCTGAAGAATGGGAAAATTTTCTTCCAACCCATGTTGTTTCTAAAAAAATAAGATGCGCATTTTCTTGGGAAGGCTACCTTTCCCAGCCCAGAACTGACATTTTCTTCAGCCCAATGCAGGTTGCAGATGCTCACAAGGAGCAGAAGATTCTCGTAGGACCTCCAGCAGATGAGGTGGTACGAATATGCCCTGAGGCGGGCGGATGAAAAACGTGTCCCACCGGGTGGGACACCCCCTAGATCTACCGGTGTTTACTGATTCATATAGATCTGAGTTAGCGACTCACTATGAGATTTATAAGGCATGACATGATGATTTGGCCTTCTCCCCGCTTTCGGATGTTTCAAAGCATCATTCTCTCTCTTGAACCGTTTTGGATACTGAGTCGGCGCATATACATATCGAAAAACTCTCAACAAAATGTTCAGCGCATCAATGTATGAGTTGTTGACTTTATTTCCTTTGACCCCGCTCATTTTTCCTTGACTAGTACGTCATATATCATGTACATGCCATTACATTCCACCATTCCCATTTGTTTTGCTCCCTGAACTCCCCAAATTCCAAATTCGGTGTGACCCCAATGGGTTATGTTTGTTGGTTTAGTTTTACCGTTTTACCCCATTCATATCCATATTATAATTATAAAGTATACTATCCCCTAATCAACCGTAGAATTCTCCAAGTTACCCACCGGGTGTCATCAAACATAGCAATTGAAAATCACCCATTGAGTTCGTTGATTTAGCCAGCTAGAAAACAAAAAAACCTCCGTTGATAGGAGATGTCGCAGTTGTTTATCTATAGTTTCCATTAGTTTCCTATGTTTTACCCATTAAAACATATTAAAAGTCCCTGTTGATAGAGGAGTTCCCCATGGAAAACTCCCATGGAAAACTCCCATGGAAAACTTTTATGGGGATCACCAGGATGGCCGCGTCCTTGGCGCCGGCGCCGTGTTGCGCCTGGGCGGCGCCCATCTGGGTGGCTACGGCGAGTCGGACATCGCCTATGCGTATCGACAGGCCCTAGTTCGGTCATGGTGAAAAAGTATGGAAAACTGGGGGACAAAAATTTTGAAATGACCTAAATATATGAGAACTATGATTTTTTATATTTTTTTCACCCAAAAATGATGGAAAGATATTGCTCATCATCCATATATATATATATATATATTTGGGTGAAAAATGGGGGTATAGCTAGATGATGCTAGATGATGCTAGATGGCTAGATGGTTTATTTCATGGAACATCCCATCTATAAATGGATGATTTGAATTTTGGGGTAGCCTTATGACTTCGGAAACCACGTCATTTTGAAACCAATCAGAAGCACGTCCTCAGCTTCCATATGTTTGCCAATGTGTTTCCCTTGGAATGGCTGGATGTTACCCTCTGGTTATGACTAACATAGCCATGGAACATGGCCCATAGAAATAGATGGTTTACCTATTAAAAATGGTGATTTTCCATGGCGAACTGTTAAATAACCAGAGGGAATTCCAAGTCGTTTCCTGAGATCCCATGATCTGCTGTTCACCCGTTGGCCGTGCAAAAAAACACGGCCCCGGCGCCCAGCTTTCTCGAGCACTTCATCCAGATAAGAATCCAGATCTGGACAAGGCGGAGACGAATTCAGAACGGAAATCTTCAGCTGTTGATTGGATCATCCATTTCAGAATCATTCAATCAGCTGTGAATCAGTCAAATAATAAACTGGATATCCGATTTTTCAGATTGGATCATTCAGTGATTCAGTGAATCATTGAGTTTATGGGTAATTATAGTTTATGGGTATATCTCTATAGTTTATGGGTTAATATCGCCATTTCATCATAAACAGTGAATTCGAGGCTCAAGCGGCCTTCCACCGCCTCTCAGAGGCCTCAAATTTGGCGTCCATGGTGAGGAGATGGGATGTTTTTTTTGTTGAGGTTACTGTAATGGCAACAACAACCATAGTAATGGTACCCTCTGGTAAACGTTTACATAACTATGGAAAATTAAATCACCATTTTCAATGGGTAAATCCACGAACTAAATGGCCATTTTCAATAGCTGTGTTAAATTACCAGAGAGTTACAACAACCATAGTAATATAGTCATTACCATAATATTACCCACAGAGTCTAACCGTGTGTTGCCCAGACATTAACATATTGAGAATGTCGTGCTGTCGAATATATGATAGGAGAGATTGCAGAACATACTGCATATACGCAATGTTTTCCAGTTTAGGATTCAAAGTTTCAGAGCCTAGGTTTTAGGGTTTAGGGTTTTAGGGTTTGGGGTTTTAGGGTTTTGGATGGTTTCAGGTTTTAGGGTTTAGGGTTCGTCGTCTGGGAAATCTCAAAGCACTGGCCCTGCGCAGGTGTTTGAGCATGTTGAAGGATAATGTTCGACATGTTTAAACGCCATTTGAACCTTCCGGGCAACACACAGCGCCTGGCCGTAATATTACATTAATTACCATAATATTACTATGGTTACGATAGTCATTACCATAATATGGTAGTACCCATAGTAATGTAATATATGGTTGGTGGTTTGGAACATTTGGATTATTTTTCCATTCAGTTGGAAATGTCATCATCCCAACTGACGAACCCCATCATTTTTCAGAGGAGCAGGTATACCACCAACCAGTAGTAATGTAATTAATAGTCATTACATGTCATTACCATAATATATTAATATGATTACCATAGTAATAACTATATATATAATATACATTATGGTAATAAAAAATATATATGGTTCGGTTGTAAGTTCACAAAGTTCACATTGGTCAGACCATGTTTCCATGCAGTTTACCGATGGTGATGCCAAACGACATCAAACGACCATTGATGGCAGGTGGCCACTGGGACTGATCAGCTCCAAAAAAGCCATCTCTGATGGTATTGTTTCATCCCTTTCCCCCAACAATGCCATGCAGTGCTGGGTAATTCCATGGAAGTCCCATATTTTTTCAGGTATTTCCATGCAATTTCCATCATTTTCCAGGTACCACTGGCACCCATTTTTCCCGAGAGCGTCTGAGCGCAGGGTTCTTCCAATAGTGGAGGTCTGTATCTCATCTTCTCATCTTTCACACCTTCTCATCTTCACATCTTCTCTCATACCTTCTCATATTCACATCTTCTCTCACACCTTCTCATCTTCACATCTTCTCTCACACCTTCTCATCTTCACACCCTTCTCTCACACCTTCTCATCTTCACGTCTTCTCTCACACCTTCTCATCTTCACATCTTCTCTCACACCTTCTCATCTTCACACCTTCTCTCACACCTTCTCATCTTCACATCTTCTCTCTCTCTCACTCTCTCTCCTTTCTCTCTCCTTTTTCTCTCTCTCTCGCCTTCTTTATCTTTCTCTCTTTAGGCCGAGGGTGGTACCGGCGGTGAGTCACGAAACGTCAACCCTTTCGCACGAAATGAGGGGCGATCGTCAAAAACTGAGGAAAAATTGCGATTTTACTTGTGCCGGAGCAACCCTTTCGCACGAAATGAGGGTCGATCGTCAAAAACTGAGGAAAAATTGCGATTTTACTTGTGCTAAAACAACCCTTTCGCACGAAATGAGGGTCGATCGTCAAAAACTGAGGAAAAATTGTGATTTTACTTGTGCCGGAGCAACCCTTTCGCACGAAATGAGGGTCGATCGTCAAAAACTGAGGAAAAATTGCGATTTTACTTGTGTGTAAAAGCTTCTGTGTGTAAAAGCGTCTGTGTGTAAAAGCGTCTGTGTGTAAAAGTGTTTGTGTGTAAAAGTGTTTGTGTGTAAAAGCGTCTGTGTGTAAAAGCGTCTGTGTGTCAAAGCGTCTGTGTGTAAAAGCGTCTGTGTGTCAAAGCGTCTGTGTGTAAAAGACTGTGTGCAAAAGCGTCTGTGTGTAAAAGCGTCTGTGTGTCAAAGCGTCTGTGTGTAAAAGCGTCTGTGTGTAAAAGCGTTTGGGTGTAAAAGTGTTTGTGTGTAAAAGCCTCTGTGTGTAAAAGCGTCTGTGTGTAAAAGCGTCTGTGTGTAAAAGCGTCTGTGCGTAAAGTAAAAGCGTCTGTGTGTAAAAGCGTCTGTGTGTAAAAGCCTCTGTGTGTAAAAGTGTTTGTGCGTCAAAGCGTCTGTGTGTAAAAGCGTCTGTGTGTAAAAGTGTCTGTGTGTAAAAGCGTCTGTGTGTAAAAGCGTCTGTGTGTAAAAGGCTCTGTGTGTAAAAGTCTCTGCGGGTAAAAGCCTCTGTGTGTAAAAGTCTCTGTGTGTGAAAGAGCCTGTGTGTAAAAAGCGTCTGTGTGTAAAAGCGTCTGTGTGTAAAAGCGTCTGTGTGTAAAAGCGTCTGTGTGTAAAAGGCTCTGTGAGTGTAAAAGCGTCTGTGTGTGTGAAAGTCTCTGTGTGTAAAAGCGTCTGTGTGTAAAAGCCTCTGTGTGTAAAAGCGTCTGTGTGTCAAAGCGTCTGTGTGTAAAAGCGTTTGTTTGTGTGTAAAAGTGTCTGTGTGTAAAAGCGTCTGTGTGTAAAAGCGTCTGTGTGTAAAAGGCTCTGTGTGTAAAAGCGTCTGTGTGTAAAAGCGTCTGTGTGTAAAAGAGCCTATGTGTAAAAAGCGTTTGTGTGTAAAAGCGTCTGTGTGTAAAAGCGTCTGTGTGTAAAAGCGTCTGTGTGTAAAAGCTTCTGTGTGTAAAAGCTTCTGTGTGTAAAAGCGTCTGTGTGTAAAAGCGTCTGTGTGTAAAAGTGTTTGTGTAAAAGTGTTTGTGTGCAAAATCGTCTGTGTGTAAAAGCGTCTGTGTGTAAAAGTCTCTGTGTGTAAAAGTCTCTGTGCAAAAGCGTCTGTGTGACTGTGTAAAAGCGTCTGTGTGTAAAAGGCTCTGTGTGTAAAAGCGTCTGTGTGTAAAAGTGTCTGTGTGTAAAAGAGCCTATGTGTAACAAGCGTCTGTGTGTAAAAGCGTCTGTGTGTAAAAGTGTCTGTGTGTAAAAGCTTCTGTGTGTAAAAGCTTCTGTGTGTAAAAGCGTCTGTGTGTGTAAAAGTCTCTGTGTGTAAAAGTGTTTGTGTGTAAAAGTGTTTGTGTGCAAAATCGTCTGTGTGTAAAAGCGTCTGTGTGTAAAAGTCTCTGTGTGTAAAAGTCTCTGTGTGTAGAAGTCTCTGTGTGCAAAAGCGTCTGTCTGTAAAAAGTTCTGTGTATGAAAAACTTTACAAAAATACGATGCAAACTATTGTCTTGTACTAGTCATATATTGTCTTGATACTACTCTTCTTGTCTGCCTATAATACATCTTTAATATAGTGTCTCCATACTAACAACAGAAGACTCTGCTCCTCTACGCTCTCGGGCCATCCGTCGTCTAGTTGGTTTTTTTCGTTGTTCGTCATGTGAAGCCCATCTCTGGTACACAAAAATAGCAAAAATCAAAACACGTTTGGCGAGATTAATTGTACTCGCCAATGCTGATTGTTCATTGCCAGCATTTGCCAGCTGAAGTCATTTTCCATTGCCTCAACCGTTGGTAAATCAACCGATCTTATTTCGCAGGATCAACTCAGTAGATGTATAGATGTTGTACAAGTGGCTTGCCACTGTGTCAACTGATAGCTACTCTTGGATGACCTGCAAAAAAAGAAAGCTCTGGCAAAACACTGAATATGTATCAAATATTATCAAATTGTATATGTCATCAAAGCGGCTCAACCTTTCACCAGTCCATGATTTCTTGGTGATATCAAACGCCAGTCCTGCCGAGCAGCTTCACTAAGGTTTCACCCGTGTCAACCTTGAAAATGAACAACATCCCCGAGCCGCTCACCTTGACAAGGATACCGGGGGTAGTTGATGGCCAGGCGTTTCGGGGTTTACTCGTCCGGGGTTGTCATTAGGAAGCAAATATTAGTGTTTTTCTAAGGAGAAGCACATCGAAGACATTATGTAAATGGAAAAGGCTCGCGCATCTGAGAGTGCAACCAACAAAGACTGGGGATTCCAGCAGCTAAAAAAATAACAGTTTCTTGTTTAGTTGTTTTATTAAATCAAAGCATAACTATTCTGGGTCGAATTTCCCATTCAAACACTTCATGCCTCGCCTATCCATCCCTTGTTGCCAGAATGGGTCTCTTCAGATGTCGGGAAAACGCTGGAATATGGTCATTGTGTTTTAGAGAAGCCACCAAATGCCATCAGACAATGGATTATTTTTTTCGGGAAAATCTACACCGGAAACCATAGATTCCCCATATTTTTAATGGGGCTTTCCGGCTAAAATTGTCCCAAAAAACAGATCCATTGAATCAGACATGAGGTTTTTGCAGATCACCGAGTGACGCAGCATACCTTGGTGGCTCCAGGGCCAAAGGCCAAACCATAGAGGAGTTGTTCCTGGCGATGGCGGTGACAAAAAAAGTGTAGTATTATTGATATTAGTTCTATCAATAGTATTAATAATGTCCTTATAGTTCTGGGAATGTTTATTGATGTTATCATTATCATATTATCATGATTAATCATTTTAATAACTATTATCAATATAAATTACACTATATACAGGCTTTGATGTTGTATGATCTATTACCATCATGGTTGTGATGATTGCTATGATTATGATAATTGTGATGCTTGTGATGATTATTACGCTTAATATGATTGTTACTTTGCTGCAATCACAATGATGCTTTACAAGACTTTGAATTCTGGTTTCCCCTGCCCTACCAACAGCAACGGATTATGATCTGTTCAAGGTCCTGATGCCAGTACTGGAAGGCCAAAAGATGTCAATTGCTTCCACCAAAACTAAGGCTCGTAACATTTCGATCTGGTGTTGACAAAACATGACAATGGTCATTCAACACTATTTCCTTCACATGCACACTGTACTGTACAGCAATGTGTGTGTAATGATTAATGTCCAATCAGTTTATTACAGTATCTCACCGAGTAGAGAAAACACAGCTTCTGAGGAAACACACGCACATGCACACATCCTGAAACAGTGAGGTGGCTTCATATCAAACCCAGCCGCTGGAAGTCCTATCCCTGAGTCGTCCCTACTCAAATTTGAGGTCATCCATTCGCAAAATAATCATTTCTAAGTTGATTTCCCCAACATTTACAAACATCGTCATTTTGAGGCACAGTGTATGTTCAATTCAAATTCAAAATCTTCTAGGGTGAGCGTAGGTGAAAAGAAACATCCATGAGTCTTACCTTTCCTTGCTCCCCAGTCGCAGCCTTCCCCGCATACATCTCACGGACGCTCTCGTGCGTGGAGATGCGCCAGAGCTGATAGCGGGACAGGGGTAGCTTTGATGTAACTTTGCTGGGCTATGTGATACCCTTCTGAACATCAAATTGGCTTGTAAATGGATGTTCATGAAGTTCATCCCCTCCGAACAACTGGTAATGTCTTAAACCCAAAGCCATGAACAACCACCATTTGGGGATGATTTTGTTGGCATCCATTTAATGATTTTGGGGATGGTTACCGTATGATTATATAATTATTGGGTGTTACATCTTAATCCATCCACATATATCATATATGTTCAGATGACGAAGACATCATGGGATCGAACCAATAAGAAGAGCGACAACTTACCCGCGACTGGTGGGATTTAACTTTAACCAATTTAACCAACAAACGTGGAGACGATACTTCGCAATTGCAATTAGTGTGTGATCTGTTTGGCTGTCGGGCCGCCCATCAGAGAATATTGAATCTATCAGCAAATTCGGAGCCGCAGTGATAGCTGGTTGGCTGCCACATGAGAAGGATATGCGTCAAACGTGCTGGTATCAGTAGACCCACAAAGTTTGTCATCTTGGGGGCAAGACCATTTATTTGGGTCTCTCTGAAAATGGGGTATACCCAATTTGGGATCCAACTTGCCAATTCTAGGCATAAGGATTCTGAACCAATTGATTTTGGTTTCTGTAATGTCCAGGTACCAAACAATGCTCCCAGTCCCATCATAGTACCTTGACGTAGCCATCATACGAAGCAGTGCCAATGAGGTCCTGGTCCTGGTGCGATGCCAAGATTTTGTTTTGGTGATTCCTTCAATTCATGCCATTGAGAAGAAAATACATTAATTAAATATAGTTATAGTCATGGTAAAAAAGAGCAGATGATTTATCATGACATATCATGACAATATTTCCACAAAATAGTCATACATATAACATCCTGTCCCACACAATATTGCTGTAGTCAACGTTTATTTGTAATATAATATAATTATATAATAAATAATGCTTAAATGATATATAAGTTATATTATATTATATTTACATAAACAATACTATTCATTACAGTACTGTTTATATCAACTGTTTTTTTTTATATAAACAGTATATACATAAATAGTCTACAGCAACCTGTCCCACAGCTCATACCAACTGGGTCCAGCTTCGCGAAGATCACTGGAGTAACCATGACTACAACAAAGTGTTTACAACTGATGCGCTCGCTCAAGGAATAATAATCCAGGTTAATCACCATGCCCACTGGTAATTGGCTGAATCCGGCTGCTGCTATTAGTAGATGTTATGAGTTGATGTGGCAAACAGAATCTTAAACCATGCACTGCGCCATGCCTTTTTCCGGCATTCAAATTCGACCATCACTCAGTGGCATGGTGACCTGCCAAGGTTGAAAACTAGGCCTCCGCGGGATCTCCGTTGGTACCCCGACTTGTTGTTGACGCAACCGGAAAAACTCCATCATTTGATCTGTGTTTACTGTGTTTACCCATAGTCTTAATATTGCCATGATCAATCGTTATCATTTTGGGGTATATGCTTCGGACAAAGTCATCAGTGGTAAACTTGTGAACCCAAAAACAAACCATCCCCGAGTTACACCACGTTTTCCTTTTGAAGAATATCAAAAACATTCCAAAACCACGTCCTCCAAATAGGTTTATTGTTGGCATCATGTAAACAATGCACATCATGAAAGGTGTTCATGCAAGCCGTTGACCTGGTGTTACCTCACTTACAAGTTGGTTAAAACCCCCATCAGCTATGTATCTGTATGTATATATATATATAATATATCATAATGTGTATACCATAATAAACGCCCATTAGGAAAAAAAACTTAGTTTCATTTATATTCAGAAGTGATTATTAATGCGATACTTCTGGGGCCCTAAATTATAACCATAGTTCACCTATGGGGCACAACCCCCAAGACGCTGGCCGCGATTCTTTTGACGCCAGGTCTCCAGAGTTCAACCTGGCAATCAACGGTACCCTGGGGTCAACGAACAAAAAGATGTGGAAAACCCATGGAGAAACCTCAGGCAAATGACAAAAAAGGTGGGGAAACTGCACATCGAAGTGTTTTATAAGTCGTCTACAGGAAGCTAATGCAACTAATAGTAGGCTTATTATATACCTGGTAGTCCCAGCTATTCATAGAACTGATGTGTGGTTTCAACAAATACTAGGACTAGCTATAACAACTACCAGGACTAGAACCGAGGAATATCCCTACTAATAGGATTCCTTCAGTAGGATTAGTTTCCAGTTAAGCCAATGAAATGGGACCTAAGAGGGACCATTTCGAAAGGACCTGCAGCGGCCCAGCATTAGACAAATACTAGGACTACTATTGACCGAAGCCATGAAACGCAGTGACCAAAACCTGTTTTTGAGACAATGCTCTCGACATATCAATAGAATAGACATGGCAATAGTCTCCCAAAAAATGAGCAATCACAATGTGTTGTGGTCAAAGGGGCCATTAACAAATCATTGGATATCCATCTCAACCGACCTTGGAGAGCGGCCAGCTCTTCTTCTAAAAGGGGCCTTGGCAGCCAGTGTTTGGTGGGATGTCGAGCTGGAAGAGGAAAGCGGAAAGTGCAAGATTGCAGCCACATTTTGGGCATAATAAATCGCCAAAGAATGGTCAGCCTTCGATGGATTTACGCCTACGCTCCGCTCCACTTACATTGACCACCACTTGAGGGGTGAAAATCATCAAAAATCATCGAGCTCAAAAAATGGGGTAATGATGTACAGTGATCCCTATCTTAAAAGATAGGAAAGTATAAGACACCCAGGCCGCCAGGCTTACAATCTCCAGGTTTCCAACATGGTTGATCAGGATTCCCATATTTTTCACAAGAATTGCCCATTTTCAAACAAGGTTTAGTATACCAAATACCTCCAAAACAAATTAATCACATTAATAAACAACATTTATCCATTACCCTCTGGTAAACGTTTACATAACTATGGAAAATCACCATTTTTAATGGGTAAATTAACTATAATGACAATTTTCAATAGCTTTTTGTATGTTTACCAGAGGGTACATCATCATATTGGAGGTGTCCAAAGTCATGCGGGTACCCCCTTGCCTCATCCAGTCGTCATGGATGACCATGACGACTAGTATTGAAAGAACCATGGTGAATTGGGGCTTCCCCGTTTTTAGAACCTCCAATATTGACAGGGATTCCCCTAATGGATTGCTATATTTCTCTCCACTACACCTCATTTTATCCATTAATTGTCTCACCATATGGGGATTTCCATAAATAGGGGTACCCCATCATCCATCCATTTTATTTTCAGAAAGTCTCGCCACCAGGGCCCCAGTTTTTCACGTTTGTAGAAATACAGTGAAGTATGAAGGAAGTGAAATGTGAATAGATATAGTAAGTTCAATGCACATTTACATCTCAAGAATGTGAGGAAGGCATAAAGAGTATGCGTCAATATACTGGATCAGATGCCTGTATTTGACACATTCAGTTGCTCAGGCCAGTGCAAAACAGTGGATAGCGGAGCGACTTCATTGGGTATAACTGGAAAAAAACTGACAGAAATATATTCTTCCGTAAGATCGGGACCGAAAACTGAAACAAAATGTACATAATTTTCTGGAAGATTGGGACCGAAAACTGAAAAAACTGAAACAACTGTACTCCTGTAAAGATGTAGAGTCTGTACATTCTGAAAGCAATGCTGCACTCTTTGCAGAGGCCTTTTGCACTTGTTTGTTTTGTTGTTTTTATCTATTATTCATGTTTGTTTTGATTAAACTTATGTATCTATGTATGACCTGGGATTCCATGATAGATGCAAGAGACAATAGTGAACATGATGAACATGTTCCAAAAACAGCAGAAAACACTGCAAAAAATGGGGTTCTCCCATATAAACCATGCAGCTATTGGGGCTTTCGGGCTTTCCCATGACTGTGGAAACCCTTATGCCATCACCGAGCGACCGCTCGTTGCGAAGCAGCTGCAGCGCGGCGCGCTGCAACTTGGCCTCGGCGACCCGAATCTGAAACCAGCCAGTTATACATGTATGTAACTGTGTATATACATAGTTAATGAAGGTGTACGGTCTACACTGCGAAATGGTGGACACTGTTTATCCAGCATCTGTAGGCTGCACATGTTTAGTCATTGATATATATATATATATACACATGATATACAAAATAACCATGACCTGAAGGTTCGAGTAGAACTTTGAATGCCAATTTCCAGATCAAAACACAGTTTCTTGGTCAACAGCCTATCAGGGATGTAAACTGATTCTGCCATTTTCAGTATCGGTAATTCCTGGAATCGGCGTTGAACGATACAGCTTATCCTGTAAAGCAAGTCCCTGCTGTACTTAGATGTCTTAGATTCAGAAACTTTGGGTTGGAGTGTCATATAGATCTGCCATTTTTCTTTTGCGAAACATTGGTGAGGTATCCAGTTGAGAAGAACTTCGCGCCTTGAAATCTGCATGCGGCCCTTGCGGTACTTGCAGCAACTTTTTCTCCTCGGGGGAAATATACTCCCAGCAAGCTGTGACCGATTGTCTTTCCAAATATCTGACAATATGCTACCCCTGTCTGAATTCTTGCGAATCGCACCAAAACCGAAAAGCAAACCTATCTGGGATTGTGATATGACATGTATGCGTATACAAATTTAGTTAATTTTAGTAGATTCCTTGATTCCTTTTAAACTAGTGTGCAATATAGATGTGGTAGATTGATTGTAAATTTAGCAAATTAATTTTAAACTTTCAGGTGTGTTTTTGACACAAAGAAACGCAGTAACTAGGCATAAAAAGGAGGAAACCGCAGGCTACAACACAATGAATGTAATATTTGTTTAGCATTGTGGTTCAAACATGTTTATTGATGCCAATATGCATTCCACCAGGTCCAACGAACCCAGAAACTGCCAACTGCCCAGAGACTGCTTCTTGATTCGCTTGCAAGGCCACCTCCAACCTGCTGCAACCATGGTCTGATTCGCAAAGAAAGGGCAATCAGAAATATTGGAAAATTCATGGGCAAATCATCTATAACTGGAGGTATCGGAAATCATGGGATATATAACCAACAGTGTGAAACTGATTGGAGGTTTCAGTCAGGAACTGAAACATATTGGTCAGCTGGGATCTTCATGATCTTCATCCCTAAGAGGGTTGCAACTACAATGTATAACACAAGGTATCCACCAGTTATGGGGGCCGGTCATCGTGGCTCTTCCTACAAGTTGGATGGCTAGGGTTGGGTATGAACAGAGGATTGACATTGAGAGTATGGTAATAGTATGGTATCCCATTTCTGAGATGCAATCAATATCAAACCTCAACATCAACCTAGTCTAGATCAAAGCAAATACCCCCGCATAAGCTCACGTAGTCACATAGCAATGGAAAATCACCATCGTCTACAAGGAAATCATTGAAGTAAATAGTCCTTTCCAGTAGCAAACTATTAAATTGCCAGAGAGTACTCTGTACTGTGCACCGGATCCAAGTTGACATTCCTCCTATAGACCTTCCAACCATGGCCTCTCTGCTAACACTTCAGCTTCCCTTCCAGGCCTCATTGGCAACTGACACCAATCAAGAAATGTATGCTCGAAGGGACATAGATAAATAAAATAGTTTTAGATACCTAGACCCTTCCAAGCACGTAGAAAACATGTTACTATGATCTTGGGACATTTACCAATTTTTCATCGGTACTGGAGAGTCTACATATATATATATACATATATATATAAATAACCAATTGCCTCTGAACATATCGGGCTCTAGACTGAAGCTCTTGACAAGTCGAAGCAAGGCTGCTTGTAAGCTACTTCCCGAGGAGTATCCGAGCCTGAACACTTACATGGAACTAGGGTCTGGAAAATGACTTAACAATTGGAAATGCACTGATGAGTTCCGGTGGGGCCAAAAACTGCTGCATTGTGCGGGACTTTTCTTCTCCTCTGCGCGCTATCTTTATGGTCTTCGCTGGAGCCTCATCCTACATGGACGACTTCCTACTTGGATAGAACCTGAACAATCCATGCTGATCCCTTGAGATGACTTGAGATGTAATGTATAGATGTGTATGTATAGGTTGTATCAAACTCTTATCGAAACCAAGTACTTGGACTCGTATTGAGAGAACAATCCTTTTCCTTCCTTTTTCATTGCTAAAAAGAAAGAACATGCAGGCCATGAGAAACTCACCTAGAAGCTGAACATTGGAAGGCGGGCGCATCATTGAATTGGGGAAGGAACACATCATTCAAATATCGAATTCCATAGCCATGGAAAACCAAATAACCATAGGTATCAGCTGTCGGTGTGCTTTCATAACTATAGGCTTATTGGGTATTTTTGCTTTATGTATATTCGGGTTTGTCTGAAAATAGGGCAACCAAACACCAAGGGTTGATCAGATCATCATATTTCCCATGATAGCCACATTGAAGGCCCCATGTTCAGACATTGTTGGCTATGTTGCCGAGCTTGATTGCGTCGCCATTGTCACTTCTGCAAATATACACATCTCCATGAAACATGTTTCCGGTAGGTCAACAACCACGCTTCAAATTTCTTCCCTAGAGATCAAGCATCAATTCACAATTCACCCATATATATATATACATACATATATATATATATACATATATATATATGCACACATATTGTGTCAATATATACATATATATATATATATACTCTTGTATGCAAACGTATATAACCATTCTTGTTGGCAGCTGAAATCTAATCGTTTATCATCGTTCATCACCAGAGTTCGTGGATATCCAAGGTATTTCCAAATCTCAAGAGCTTTCAGCCGTAGATGCGATCCTACCTCCACACTCAGCTACACTAGCTACATCAGAAGCCACGGCCCAGGTTTCGCCGGGTCATGTCCTCAACGGTGGGATCAACTGACGCATGAAACAATTGGAAAAGTAATGAAAATCCAATGTAACATTTATCAGAAAAACACAAATGGCAATGGAACCCCTCTGTTCTGGTGGGGGATGATTCACTGACCATTGAACTCCCTGTCCCCTCGCGCACCCAAAAAGAAGCAGTAAGAATTCAAAGAGAACTTCGATTGACTCTTCACTTTTGAAAGTTTTCACATATTCATGACATTGCATTCACTTTTTGTCGCGGAACACCAAGGCCACAAGCCCATCAGCCCATCATGGACACTTTAACAAAAAGAACAAACCTCAAGGCATGGATGTGACTAGACACATGTTTGTGAGCAAACTGGTCTGGATCAACGATCCGGAACTTTCCCAATCGATTCCCAGTAAGTGAAGGATAGCATAGCAATTGCTGGACTCCCAGTCTGTGCTGGTGAATCTCTCATTGGTGTGTTGGTGAAGTATCCGCAGTTCTACCAATCTCCCCATCCCCAATGTTTTTTGGTAAAACTCTCAAAGCCACTGTTTCACCGCAGGATCTGAAGGATTTCTGCAAAAGCAATCAAATCAACATAATAACATAAATCAAACCATTCATGTATCTGGGTACATGTTTTATTCCCATTCATCAGAACTCAACAACACATTGAGTCGTGTTGTGCACCGAGGGAGCAACCATCATAGATTGCCTCTAAAACCCATGATTACCGAAGTATATGCCCCATTACCATGATATACCCATCTAATCATCTAATTGCTGATTATTGTGGCTTAATAAATGCCATTAAATCACAATGCATACATATACATATACGTCATACATGTATATATATATATATATATATATATGTATACGTATGTATATGTATATAATTATATATATATACATGATTATAGACATATATGTGTATGTTGGATCATTCGCCATTTTGGTTGGCAAAATCCCATGACATCCTTAAAAAAAAGGAATCCCATGAGAAAATCCCCATCTGGGACGGTGCCCAAGCACAGAGATGCCACCAAGGCCGTCCTAAGATCGCAGCTGAATTATGTGAGCCAGCCTTTAACACCTTAAATTTGGAATATAAATGGGATCTGGTTGGTGGTTTGAACCATCTTGAAACATATGAAAGTCAATGGGAAGGATTATCCCATATACCATGGAAAATAAACATGTTTGAAACCACCGACCAGGGATGTTAACTGGATACTAGTGGGATAAGAATGGTTTAATCATGGAACAATGACAATAATCCTACTGGGATATGAAAGGGATATGGGCTGATAATAGGAAAATGGACAATAATAGTATGATAATAATGGGAGAACACTAGGGGATATATATATATATATATGTATATGGGATAATAATGTGATATTAACGGGACACTAGTGGGATACGAATGGTATAATATGGGACAGTAATAGGAACATTTGAACATTTCTAATAAAGGGATCATACCACATATACCCTATTCAAATATGTATATATATATATATAAGGTGAAAACCCATTAAATGTGAATGATACCATAACAAATAATGTGAAAACACAAAACAATGTGAAGTCTACCCTGTAATACCATATGGGACTGTCCAGAAATGGGCTGGTCTACAAAGGCAACAATGGTTCAAGTACTCTATATATATATATATACAGTATCTATATTTATTTATGTGATATATATATATATATTATATATATAATCCTTTTCCCTTAGTATTGAACACCACACACGAACCTTGGTCAAAAGTTCACATTAGGACATGCTACTTGGGACTTTTCCCCTTGTTTATGGCTACTTTGAGAGTCTGAGCATATATCTTGTAATGAAATTGCTTTGTCTAAATATTGGGTGTGCATTCAAAAAGGTTGCTTTAACAGGAGAAATGATGATCAGTCATCAACATTGGAGATAACCTATTTTCAGACGGATCCACAATTTGTCCACAATGATAAAAACTCAAAACACAATGCAAACAAGCTTCAATCTGGCACTACATGCCGGTAGGATTTGACTGTTCTATCTTTTTGGGGGGGTGCTATGCATGTGTATACTATAATAATATATATATATATATGTATATATATAAATATGTACATATATCTGTGTATATATATAGTATGTGTATATATATATATATATATTATACATGCAATCATCACAATTTTTGCAGTTCTGCAAGAAATCTCAAACACCGATTGGCGTTAGAAAGTGATTGTGGGAAAAAAACTTGATGCCGCTTGGCTGAGGCTGCTTGGCCTTCAGTCGTGTTTCCTTGCATGTAGGCTAGAAAGACACAAACGGTGAATAAAATGGTCGTGGTGCCCCCTGGGTACAAAATGCATCAAAATGCTCTATGAACCCCAGTAACAGAAAATGTCGCTGGTCCGATTTGTATTGTAGCCATGCAAACCAAAGGTTAGAGAGGGAAACTCGTTCGTCTATTACCTGGTTTGGTATGAAATGGTCTGGTTACCTGGTTTCTTTTTTAAAAACTACAGGGTCTAGGAATCGCACTTGATGATTCCTTGATAAATGACAAACAACTAGTTGCGGTTTTAGGTGGACGTTTTAGATGCCAAGATTGGCTATACGTACCGTAAGAGTAGCTTGGAGCCTAGTCGGGCATTTCAATAGGTATTAGAGCTGACAACTCAAGGAAACTGTTTTTGTCAAGCAATATAATGCCCATGCAAGTACTGTCAACCCAGGATTGACAAATACTTGATTCATTCGAAGGTACCCCAAAATAAATCTGCTACTAATGTTGTATCCTTCCAAACAGCCAGAGATTCCTTAATCCAGGGTTGAGATTGTATTAATATGTTGCATCCTTTCAAATTACACGTACAAATAATACCCATGTAAATATGTATGTATATAAAATTATTACATAAATATATATATATATACCAATCCACCAAAACATAGAACAGTAAAGTCCTACTTAAAATAGTGATTTTCATGAATGTTGATCTTTTTGGTGGTACCTATACACACATATATATATATACATATTATACATGCATGATATTGTATGATAATCAAGTGGCGCTGGTCGAGTGGCTGGGACCTTTCCAAGTAACGTCAGGGTGACCGAATAGACCATGACCTGATTCTTTGTTCGGATCCAATGGATCCAATGGATCCTACCTTGGTGGTATACCTACCTAGCCCTCTGAAAAAATGATGGACGAATCGTCAGTTGGGATGATGACATTCCCAACTGAATGGTTTGTTTAAAAAAAAAGGTCCAAAGCACCAAGCAGAAACTATTTATAAGTGACGTTTCCTCCATAATTTTGAGATCTCCAGTCTCCAACTGTTCTACCTTTGTGGTTGTAGCTATAGACAATGGCCCAATGTTTAGATGGTTTATGATGAATTACCTACCAGAAAATGTCAGACAATGTGTTTCTTCATATAGTACGTAATAACGATTATCTAGGAATTGTTGCATGTTTAGCTGATGGATGTAAATAACTGTCTTTCAGAATATATTTGTCGAAGGAAGTTTAGAAGTGAAACTTCCGACAATATGGACAGTTGAAAAGCAGAGGTGAAAAGAGTCAGAAGAGAAAAGATCAGAAGAAAGAAGATGCAGATGCGCGAAAAGGTAGGAAAAGTCGCGATTCACTGTGTTTTTCCAATGATTTGTGGCTCCGGAGGGTCGAAAAGTAGGCTCGCTAAAGCGGCGGATGCGGAGCCAGCTGGCCAGATGAGACATGAAAAAGTGCACGCCGTTGTGGCGCGAAGCACATTTCCAAGTCAAAATGGACAAAACACTAGAGGATCGGACCACTTTTGGAAGTTGAGATGTCGAAAAAGTGCACGCCGTTGTGACGCGAAGCACATTTTGAAGTCAAAATGTACAAAACACACCATGGTCGGACCACTTTTGGAAGTTGCGATGTCGAAAAAGTGCACGCCGTTGTGGCGCGAAGCACATTTCCAAGTCAAAATGTTAAAAACACTAGGGGTTCGGACCACTTTTGGAGGTTCAGATGTCGAAAAAGTGTCGAAAAAGTGCACGCCGTTGTGGCACGAAGCTCATTTCGAAGTCAAAAGTGTAAAAAACTGAGGGTTTTGAGCCTTTTTTGACGTGAAGATGTCGAAAAAGTAGACACTGCTTAACTTAACTAACTTGACTCACTTAACTACCCTAACTTCGACGACAACAGCAACAGCAACAACAACAACAACGACAACAACAACAACAACAACAACAACCAACAACAACTACAACTACAACAACTACAACTACAACTACAACACACTACTACTACTACTACTACTACTAACAGCAAACAACAACAACTACTACAACAACTACAACAACACAACTACAACTACTACTACAACTACACTACACAACGACTACAACCACACAACAACTACAGCTACAGCTACAACAACAACAACTGCAACTACTACTACAACTACAACTACAACAACTACAGTTGCAGTACATCACACTACATCCAGCAGTTGTGGGTGAGGTGACCACTGCAACCATTGCAACCATTCCAGAAACACAACTCCAACCACCTTTCGGTCAATCAGTGGATTCGCTCTGCCATCCGTGATTCACAACAACCAACGTCTCCTATAGGTTTCCTATTCTGAAACTTCCGCCACCGCCTTGTGCGGTACTACTGGTACTGTTCACATATCATAGTCGATCATCAGTGTTTTTCAATGAATCTAGGGTTGGGTTGTCATTCAAAACAATATAAATGCATCCCGAAAAAAGGAAGACCAACAATACCTTCAATGTCATTGTTAGGGGGTAAGACCATAAGCTGGACACCTTCTATGGAAGGGTCTAAGTTCTAGAACCCATGCTTTGGGGATTTCAGACTTTTTAGTTTTTTTTTAAACAAGTGAACAAAATAGTCCGTTCATGTCCATGCACATCACTGCAAGACCGGGTACATAAGATCCACTGCAGAATGACTAGTTGCAAAGGATCCTAGGATTCCAAGAACAACTTGCGAAGGATACCCTTGCACCAGTAAACCTGGATGCTTGCTCAGTTTGATTTCGGCTATACTATGCCTTCTGAATGGCCTAATACATAGTTATTATTTACAAGTGTTTCATGATTCTATGGTTTTCCCAATTTCTAATGTTTGCTAGTCAGAAACAAGTGGCAGGAAGAATAAATATCGTGTCATCAACTTTCATTCCACAATTCATGAAGGAATGACTCAACCAAAAAAAGCACCTAGGAACCACAAATTTTGGTGTTGGTTAGTACTTCTTACGAGTGAAACAATCCCATTTTGAGGCACCAACTTTCGCCCCAATTCTTCTCCTGTTGATGTAGACACTGGTCCAATCCGTTACCCTCCAGTAGTCAAACATGGCGTGCAAGAAAATTCCCAGCTCGATAAATTGTCCCATCAAAAGCTGAATTTCGTTCAGGGATTTCCCCAATGGTACCAGATCGTCACCATATCTCAAAAAAAATGCCCTTTTTGTGGCCCTGAATCTCAAGCACCCGAGGCCAGTAGGGCGAGTGACACCAAAGAGAATCACGAACAAGGCGACTAGAAGGCTAGTTGGCCTCATGGCACGACCATGGCAATATTGGAACCCTGTCAAATCAGATATCGTCGTTTGTAGATGTTGTATATCTTGCACGACTGATGTATTTATACAATACAAGTATACTGTAATCTAATATATATATATATATAAATACATGTAAATATGTATTACACACATATGGGATTACACATGGGATTACATGGGTATGGGTCAATTTCGGTACCCCAATCATTGGATGGTCTTTGCTTCGGCCCGGCGACAGCCATGATTTGGAGGTGGTGAAATGCGTCCCAGTTAGGAAGTGGTTGAACACGCATGCATACTGTACATATATATATATATATACAACCCGTATCTATGAAGGTATATATATATATATATATATATATGATCGTATATGTATCACTGACTAGACATTTCCGAACATTTCCACATGTATCCTATAGATGTATCAAATATGATATGTATCTGGGTATTTAAAATTACATATTATATAGTTATTTACAGCTGGAACGTAGTTTGGTTACTGGCCAATTGATGTTTCCACTGGCAGAGATGATGCCCCAAGCAGAACAACAAATGGAGGGTTTCTTATAGAATTGGGGACAACCACCAATTCACCCTTAGTTTCCCCAATTCAAAATATACAATTCATATGGATGATAACTTCGGATAGCCAAAAAGTCTAATTGTTTGCTGGTTAGTACAGCTTACCATTGATACTGGTTGGTGGCTTCAGCCCCTCTGAAAAATATTAGTCAGTCAGTTGGGATAATTATTCCCAATATATGGAAACAATAAAAGATGTTCCAAACCACAAATCAGGATAGCAATAGATTCAAGTACTAGTTCGTATCTAACCAGTCAGTTGATGCAAAGGAAACCTCCATAAAACAGCCAGCCATTGGTCTCCGGGATCAAGGTGCAATTCCATAGAGATAATCCTTGGTGATCCAAGTTGCAGCATGGTACGTAGACAGATTGCCATAGTCCAACCCCCCATGACATGGATATCCATGATAATACCCCTAAATGAGATGAATCATTACCACGCATGACCCACATCTGCTGAAGTTTTCCCTGAAATCGTACAGTGTGAAGTAAGCGCGTAGTGGCAAGAAAGTGGACCTGCCAACTAAAATACCGCTACACTCAGGAAACTTGGCACTTGGCTATTTACGCCCAATTTCAACTTGAGGCGTTCATTCGATGACAGGGAAGAATCCACTACCACAAGAATCTATAAGCTACTTAGAAGTGAACATGTGTCTATAGTATCCCCAAAAATGATAGTCAACATAATTTCAGAAGCATGTCTGTCCTTTTTCAAGATATGCCAATACACTTTTCAGTTCCACCAATTTCATCAAATCAAGGCTCGACATGAAGAAGTCGGGGATAATGAAGAGGACATCAAGCACCACCTTGGAGATTGACCCACCGTGTTTCCAACACCAAAAAAGTAGTTGAAAAGTGGGACACCTGGAAACTATGGAGAATACATCATTGAACTATCATCCCGGAAATATGTTTCGAAAAAAAAAAAAAACATATCATTTTTATCTCTGTTTGTTTATTTTTTGGATTACTGTACTATAAATATATCAGAAATGATCGTTATCTATATATATATATATCTATATCTACTACAATAATATACACATTACTCAAAAAGTGGGGTGATACCACCTTTGAGATTCCCCATGATGTGCCAAACGTGAACTCATTCCGACGTGATGGGATGTATACCGCTATACCATACTGGGGTGAAACCAGCAATTAGGGTAAAAATGATGTAATCATGGTACATTATGGGCATATCATGGGGATACAAGGTGATATGAAACTGTGGTTGGGGATATAATGAAGAAGCATGGGGATATACTGTGCTTGGGGATATGAAACCAACAATGTGATATTAGGGTTTGTCAACAAATTGGTTGTAGCACTTAACATTGCCCCTTTACAGCAACGATCAATCGGCTCTGGGATGACAACAGTAACAGTCTCTAAGTTGCAGTACACCTTTGCGTATTCCCATCGGTAGGCCCTGTAGGCCCCGAACCATTATCAAGAAACATTGTTAATTATGTTGTATGCAATAGAATCAAAATGAATCAAATAGAATCCATATAATTTGAATTTAGATGTACAGTATCTATCAGAACAACACCACAAACTATAGTACCCTTGTCACAGTTTCTGATTTCCAAGCTTCTTCAAAACGCCTAACGTCTCGCCGAGTGGCTGCTTGTGCCAAATTAAAACGCAAGATCTGAGGGAGGTCACCATTGCGTGCTTGGGCTTGGAAAAGAATCCTCTACGGCTCGGATCTAGCGCCGCTGATTTCGCTGGAACCATGGGTTACCTTCCGGTAACATGGCTGGGAAACCCGCTAGAAAATGGAACCATTGTTAATCATCAATGGGGATTTTGATGATTTTTTCCATTGCTACGCTTCATGTCCGGAGGGGTTCAAGTTGATCTAAGGCCTAGGATGATCAGGGTGTCGGTTTCGGGGGATTCAAGTTTGTTTGTGAAACCTTGGTAATTTCAACTTCAGACTTTCTGGGAACGAAGCAAAACAAAAATACAAAGAGCGATACAAAACCTGATCCAAAGCACTGTCTGTCAATGTCGATTCAGATTTCTCGGGGTGATGTCCCTTATCTAGTCATGGATCATCATGGATCATCTTGAAACCACGAATCTGCGTACTTCAACGAATCTGCCGGTTACAACCATTATCATGAAATCGACACGGTCCGCTCTTTCAAATGGATCAACAACATTAAACGCCAAAAGGAAGAACAATGTCGGATTATTCACACCGTGGACACACACAGAGGAAAACAAAAACACCTGACATATCCTGACATCATCCGATTTAAAATTTACAGTGCTGCACATGACCCAACAAAGCATGAAACAAACACATCTGGGTTTCTCAAAAATCTGGGTTCCGTCAATCCAGTGACCGATCTTCATTTTTTTCTCATTCAAATTGCATCAAATTGCTATTTTTTTTAACTCAAGGACATCCCGTTGGAGGAGTTCATCCAAGTTGGCTGAGTTCGGAAGCCAGTGGTAGATGATGCACCTGCTAAACATGGCAATTTACTATGGCTTAGATAAGCAAAGGGTATAGCCCCTCTATCTCTCTCTCTCTATATATATATATATTAATATGTTTAATATAATTACAAAAAAAAAAACTAATCGTCAAAAAATAGGATACCCTAGGGTAAACTAACAGTTCGATGTGGAAACCCAGCCTGTTTCCGTTTCGGACAATTTATGATCGACATTCATGGTGGGTTACCACAGCAACCCGTTGGGACCGCTGGGACGCAGCCCACCAACGATTCCCCATATTCCCCGGAGACGGTCAGGAAGATGAATGTGCCAAAGGGAATGGCGTTCTTCAGCATCAGCAAGGGCGCAATAAGCTTCACCTGGGAAATTCTGTGATTTTTGTTGGCAATTCCTTACTCTTTGAAAGACCAAAAAAAACAAGTATAGATGTTGTCCAAACAACCTGGGAAACAGTGGTAGAAAAGACCGATGTCGTTTACGTCATTACGTCCTAAAGAAAACATTTAAAACATGTTGTAGATTGAACCAGTTCTATCGTTTGTGGTGGACGCGGGCAATGAAGATGCTCGGCAACAACGACAGTATCTATAGATCTCAATGGCTGTTGGTTGGTGAAAGCCACATTTTGGGTACTTTTGGGTTGTTTAATTTACATTAACTTACAATATATATATATATTATGTATAGGGTAAATCCAGCACTTCATCAGGTCTGGAGCTCAAATACTCTTGATGGCTGATTGTCAATCGACTGACTGATAAAAAGGCAGATTTCACCACAACTTCACAATACATGACAGATGTTGTTTACTATTTTTTTCAGGGGAAACTCGCCAAATCACCTTTTTATTCAGGTTGGTGACATAGGCAAAAACATGATGCTGGGGAGACTGCCTTGGTCTTAAACACTATACATTACCCTCTGGTTATTTAACATAGCTATGGAACATTACTATGGTATACCATGGTTAATCGGTAAATCACCATAATTCATCTATAAATGGGCCATCTATACCATAGCTATGCCAAACAAATCAAACAACCAGAGGGTACGTTTTTGAGTGCTCCTCAAAGAGACAGATGATTTGGGGTACCCCCATGACTTAGGAAACCTGCGGGTAATGTGTTGAACCCAACAATAAAACATCCCTAAAATCACTATAAATGGGTAGTATATACTGTCCCCCAATGGTAGGTTGATTATTGGGTGTAGCATTGGCCCTTTAGAGTGCGACGGATTTCCGTATGGCTTTTGGCCACGGTTGTGCTTATCATATCACAAACTGCAACCAACCAAGAATCATACTACGTTGGGGATACAGTAATCAACCATATTCATGTTGTTTTTTAAACGGAAACTACGGAAGTATAGAGGTGGCTTTAACAGACTTAACAAAAAAAACACGTTTGGTCAGCCGAAGGCACACCTTTGGGCCAATGACAAGAGACACTTAAAAATAGTTTGAACATGCTGGAACAAGGCAAATATGGCCCCTAAGTGGTCAAACGAGGCGGCCAAACATCATAGTCTTTCAGGAGGGTGCCCATATTTCTCCATTGTGAAAGCGTACCAAGAGCGAAAGCCCCTGGAATCAGCAAGGAACTGGCTGTGGGATGTTGTGGGCTCTAATGCTGATGACCCTTAGCTACATGGAAATCACCACATATCAGCGACTTGGCTTCCCCTCACTGCGGATAGGGTGCAATGGGCAGAGCTCCTGGGAAAATCTCCTGAGTCCGGCCACGCATGGCTTGATGTCATTCTGAAGTCGAACAGACAGTTTGGTGCTGCTTTAAAATACATTACATCAAATATGGCAGCCTCAAGATGTTGCAAGCGGCAAGCGGTAATGCTTCCCCATCGAACCACGGTGAGAAATGTTGTAGCTTTCAAACCTGCAATAAACCTCTACTATTGAAATTGTGGATATGTGTCCTATATAATTATTATTAAGGTATGTTTACATTTTATTATTATATACATGTTTAGATATGTTTAGATATTTTAACATGTTCACATGGACTCATAGAATGAAGTGAACTGACTGGGAAACGAAGCCATCCTGGAATTCTTCCGATGTGGAAAGCATGTCCATCAGCGCTATGGTGCAATAATATGTGTATATATATAAAGTGTGTATATATATATATACACGTACAATCTACACATGTCTACACCCACAGACATACATATGAGGTATGCATACGTGCCACAAGCTGTATATGTCAAGGTGTGTGAAAATAAAAAACAACTAGATGTATTATAGTGTATATATATATATGATGTAAATATAATTCTACATATTGTATATATATATGTATACATGAAACCATGTATTTATGTCTGCATAGACATATATATATATATATGTACAGCATAATACACGACATATAGTATTATATATATATTGTACTGTATATACATATATATATATGTACACTATATATATACATATATACAGTATGCACATTGCATTTGGTCTTGTTCTATTCCATCCATGCCAATCGGAACCATGCCCTAACTGCAAACTTGCCCAAATGTTGATCTTCCATTCTGATACAAGGCCAAGCAGCTACATCCCATTACATCCCCAGCCTACCTGAACATCAGACCTTGTCAGACCTATGACAAGGACGCGCACCGCTAGGCAAAGCATCAAGCAATGGGAGGCCGAATTGGAAACCATCCATGAGTGGCAGAATATAGACCAAGGATGCAACCTAGGTGAACTGATTGCAGTGTCTCAATCGAAGCCAATCTGGCCGGTTTTGTGCCTTTGGAAGGTCATTAATCCCAGATACAACAAACGGATAGGTCCAGCGGAACTGCAAGACACAGAACAGGGCTGGATTGACTTGCCACAAAATTGCCAGGCTTAGCGATTCCAACCAGTCACTAAATATATATAGATAGAAATATATATATATATAGATATATATATATATACAGTCACTACTGCACCTGATTAGCGATTCCAACCGGTCCCCCAAATACACCAGGATCATCTTTCAAGACATCTTGGCATTGAGAGTGGGTCTGTGGCGATTTTCAGACAGGCCGATAATGCAACAATCATCGCTTCACCAGGGCTACCCGTCATATCGTCATATCCATTTACTGCTTGGGTGCGCATGTGCTCGGGTGAAGAAATTGGCTGGCAACCCTTGCTGGTAAGTGATCATTTCTGGGATCATACCATCTTGTTTTCCATGTGACCAGTTCTACTACCTCGGATGCATGCAATCCTCATGCGTGAGGTTTTCCCATGATTGATAGAGCAAACCAACCCTCAGCCATCTATCCCCACCAAATAAGTCTGCTTATACAGGTAAAGGTAATGGGCCGTAAGTATGGTGATCATCAACAAACGGTCACCATCACTAGCAATCTTGACCAGTTATTACCAGCCTCATACCCTATAGCAAGCCCGAAAAAAATGGAAACACATTGAATTAATTAAATCCTCATGAGATAGTAGTAAATCCCTTTTCCATTTTGGAGTGTTACTACATATACGTTTACCATTTAAGCTTGTTTTTGTTGCTTCCCAATCGGCTGATGCAACTCTTGTACCCCGGCCACCAAGGAGCCAAACGAGTTGGCAGACTGCGATCCTTGCTCTCTTGGAAAGCAAGGTAAGTCCCGCAAAACGATATGTAAGCTGGACAACTAGGCAATATATGAATTATTCGATTCATGCTGGATAGGTGATGTACTATATATATAAACATATATATATATAATTATATTTATATATATATATACTGTAGATGTATACAAATAATACATATCATATTATATATATAAGTATCTAAACGTATAATATATAATTATATATAAATATATATACACGTACACAGCCAAGGTGCAGCAATTTCATTGCTTGTATCCCGCCGGTTTGTTGCTTATAATGTATACATCGTGAACATGGGGAAATCATGCATACAAGCTGCAAGCTGGGGTGTGGTCATCCATGCCATAGATGGGGAATCCAAGCATCAGAGGATACAAAGAAAAAATCCTACATGGATTGAGGATCATCCACCAAGAAACATGCAGTCGTTAGTGTTATAACTTTCCAAACTTACAGAGACCCTGAGAATCACCAATGCTTATCAACGTGGAGTCCAGTCTTTCGGCCAACTCTTGGCAGAATCGAGCTCTTAGTTGCAGGGGAACATACAGCAACCATTATATCCCCATGATTTCCCCGTTCCTGCGTGATACATCCATGCTATCCCCATAGAATGGTTGGTTTCATCGTGTCAAAAAAAACGCATCATAGATCAAAAACAGAAGAAACACATCTTTCAAGAGAATAGGGCATAGTAAAAACATGTAAAAACCCAAGAAAAACACCTGAAAAAACCTGAAAACACATGGAGAGGCCAAATGTCTTCTCCATCCACTTCAGTGGCAAAAACATTGCCCAGCTCTTCCTTCATGGAAGCCACTGATGCCTGGCCCGGGCGCCACGGCCACAGCTTCAATCGAGGGGATCATTGGGGATCATCGCATATTTTAAAGCAGTCAAGGCAAAGTACGGTAGAATGATACCCTCTGGTTATGTCAAAATAGCTATTGAACATGGCCATTTATAGTGGATTTACCCATTGAAAATGGTGATTTCCCATAGTTGTGTTAGTTTACCAGAGGGTAATTGCAAAATTCAATTCGGCCCGTTTTCCAGGAATGGTCCTCTTGTGATAGTGACCATATCGAACCATCGTGCGTGGCACAACACAAACGAGGACCGAGTCCTCTGCTTCTTGTTCCCTCTTTGCAACAGCTTCCAGTGCTCTGGCTGTCTCCCTTTTGGCTGCCACCAACCTCGTGACCGTTTTCTGAAGGGCTGTTCAAATGAGGCAAAAACTGGGCCATGATGGCTATGAAACCATCCCACCTGAGTCATGTGACGGTGACACAGTCTTTGATGTATCCTCTCAGCCAACCATCTCAGAATCTATATGGATTTTCAGGGTAAATCATAGATTGTGTCATAAAGTCATAAATCCCAAAGCTAAGTAAATCTAAGTAAGGTAAGCTAAGTTTGTTTGGCACCAGCTTTGATAGCTTGCAAGATCCGAACCTTGATGAGGCTCCAAGTCCATGTCATCATGCGTCCAATCATATCCCGCTTGTCATGGGATTATAACATAATATGCATTGTCAAACCGGAAGCTAAGCTAGGTATATGCGTTCATGAAAAACACTATATATATATATATAGTATATTATGATATATTAAGTATAATATGTATATTATATATATAATTATATATAATAATGTATACTTGTATATATAGATCGATGGACATGATCTCGTTAATGCTCTATATTTCTCTCGGTTTACGTTCCCTCCCGATGTGCCAAGCCACATTCTCAGTCGATCTTGAAACTCTTCCCTGCTGAGGTTTTCCTCATGCGCTGAGGTCACAGAATCACAGAAAAGAGGGCACACCATGAAGACGTCAAAAATGGTCCTTTGCAATTAACTACTTACAGTAAGTTCCTGAAAAACCGCGAAGCCCATCTTTTGGATTCTTTGGGTAAATCATACATTGGTGATGGTAGATGGTTTAGAATCCCGGGAATGCCCCATACTGATTATCCATAATGGAATTCTGGGTTTCCAAACCACCAACTGCAACACCACAGTAAGAATTCATTGGCATCTTGGAAAATGGGGACTCTTTGTTTGAATGTTTGAAGATGTTTAAAGTGCTAAGAATACTGCAACATGGCACTCAACATGGCTTCGGTACATGGCGATTTATTTCTTCGACGGGCACTCATCGCCATGCATCCGTTGAAGCTTCCTTCGAGTTTAAGAGATCGCGAACCTCCGATGGTCAGGTCACAGTATGGCCATGTTTGGTGGCCAACAATGTGCTGCTAGCTTGTCACCAGGGTGATCGTCCAGCTACCTCTGGGATATCCCAGACTTCGTAAGTGGTATGTATTTAGATGTGTTTAGTATAATTGGGGGTTATCCAAGTTATCACATTCCATGAGATATAATTGATATAATTTACAGCGCTTTCACCAAGGCTAGTGTCCCCACATCCCCGGTTCCGTGCAATCGCTGGTGACCTCGTTTTCACTGAAGTTCGTTTTCTCCTCCTTCTGCAGCTTCAGTCTCAGTTCAGCCACTGAGATGCTCTTCCTAGGCCGTGCGGCTGCGGCATTGAAGACAACACGATGGACACGATGCACAGGTGCAGTGGCCCGGCGAAAACCAACATAAACGTGTGTTCATGACTTGGCTTTCGATATTGATATCGCTATGTTAGATCAATCATGATCGTTGGAGAATTAAAAAACCAACTCATGGGGCCGGGAATCGTTGAACTCAACGTCCACTGGGATCATCAACCATGGTTCCAACTCAATAGCCAGGTCTGAAGCCGGCCAGTTCGACAGGCTAACCGTGACAAAATCATAAGCTTCAATCACCCAACGTACTGTGGATGGAAGAAATCCTGCACCTTGGATGGTAGAGCCCCTTGACAACTAGTGGATTTAATTGGATTTAATGTGGATTAATGGTGACTTAATGGTGACTTAATGGTGTCGATGATTTTCTGGGGCCATGAATGCCATGATTTGCTGATATGAAAATGGATTGGTTTAAGGGAAAATCTACAGGAAACCATGGATTGTTCCATGATATGGATAAATATGGAGGTTTCCGGTTAAAATGTTCCCTTAAACCAATCCATTGATAATAACGACATTCCCACGTCTTTGATTCGCTGTTTCAGAAACTACTGATTGAAAGGCACAAATAACGTCCCAGCGACTTTCCATCTGTCCATTCCAATGCTCCTGAGGGGCCGGAGAAAAAAACGGCCACTGCCAGAGACACGAAGCTGAAGCTGCGAAGCTCGGATTCTCTTTGCAAAATAAACAGATGTAGAAATCAAATGTGTCTATCCGACTATAAAATTGGCTTCATTTTTATAGATTAAAGATGATTAAAGTAATTTTAAAGTTGAATGTCATTGTCTGCTAAACTAAGATGAGTATAGATATGAAAGAAATCCGCGTCCAGTTCCGCTGCACTGATCGATACGTTGATGATGGATTTCCCATAGCTGAATGTGAATTTGCTGGAGAGTGATACATCTGGGCAAATCATGCCATCGGGAAGTTGCTATACTATGGCCAGATATATGGCAAATCTTGCTTGGCTTGCGGTTTTTCGCCTGCAGTCTTGGCAAAAAACGATATTTCTATATATTTGTTCTTGTCCATTTATGGGAAGGTGGAACATCAACCCATAGGATCCATGTATGCTATAACATTTACCATCAATATACCCCAAATGTTAGCATATGTTAGCATATATACCAGCACCGTGGATCCTATGGGCAATTAAACCATCAGCTGCTTGGCATGAAACCAACAAACTACCATACCCTCCCAACCAAGATGGCTGCAAAATTCCACATGGAAAACCCCAACTTCTTTCCCTTTGGTAAACTCTTCGAAAACTTCCCTCTACGTTAGTCAATTATGAGGCAACCCCCAGGTGTAGTTGATGAACAGTTAGAATACGAAAAATGTGTGAATTCTCCACATATGATGTTCTTCAATTCAATCCTTTCCGGTTCATACCCTCTGGTTAATTAACAGTTCAACATAGCTCAACCCTGAAAATCGCCCACCTTTACTGGAGACTAATCTTCCAACCCCTAAGTCATGGCAGGCTCCTCATGTCAATTTACTGGTTGACCAAATTCCCCATTCGGTCGACACAAACATCACCTGCTCCCGACGCTTCGTTACTCCCAAGGAACGCTGTTCCCGACGCTGCTGCTTCTGCTCTTCCTCCAAGGCCAGAGCTTCGGCACGGATGCGAGCGGCTTCCTCTGGATCTGAGGAATTTCATGCTGATTTCATGGTGATTTCACGGGATATTTCATGAGGACTACTGTAAGCATCAACAAATGGTGATCTACTGGCATTTATGGGTATTTACCATCTGGAAATCAAACGTATCTCGATCATTTTGATTCATTTTGCCTATTTAATGATTATCTATGTATATATGTAAACCTATTAAAAGTGGTGGTTTCCCAAAGCATCCCAAAGCTATGTTGGACTACCAGAGGGTTGGTTTATGACAAGGTTATGCTTACTGTTTCATAAAGGGGGCCCACATTAAAGGAATCTTGAAGGATCCACAAGAAAAATAACGGTCTCTTATTTTTTGGAAAGCACATTGCTATCTATTGCTATAGCTGATGACTTTAAGACTTTCACCCATATTTACCATCTGGTTATTTAACATAGCCATGGAGAATCACCATTTTTAAAAGGTAATCCATCTATAAATGGGCAATTTTCCATGGCTATGTTCCATATTTCGGGGGTAACTACAGTAAGGGTCACTCCGTATGAAAAAAAGAGGATCTCAACCTGGCAGAAATCGATCCGCACCTTCTCGAGGTCAGAAGGGTCTGCGCGGCAAGAAGCCTTGCTACAGATGATGCAGATCCCTGGGAATTCCTATGTCTGCCAAATCCATGGACGTGGCCATCATTTATATTCATACATATATATATATAATTATATTATACATAAATATTATATATATATATTATAACTTATAACATACATACAGGTATGATATTGTGGAATGACATTGAATGGTAACATATATGAAGTTGGTCAAGATTCCCAGCTTTTTGATGTATCCACACACACATAAAAAAAAACACTGATTTTAGGCTGGCGAACTGTTCAAATACTGTCTCACTCGGCAATAGAAAAGGCCCAAGCTACATCCCAATTTAGACATTGTTCTTATTTGTGATGTTCATGAATGCTCCACTGATTACTAATTGATTCTGATTTCTCCATCTTATGGGTCAATACCCTGATACCCTAGGTACCCTGAAAAGGCTTGTTAATGGATGTAGATTCCCCCAAATATGATCATATATGGTAATATTTGCATCCCCATATACATAGACGGTTAAACTCACATTTCTGGATGATTTTCCTATGGAAAATGGCTGGATCTACAGCCATTGTTCGAAACCCCGAACAATGGATCCGCCTCTGTGATACCAAGTGGCACGTGTGGCCCGCCTTCGAGCGAGGGCGATGGCTGATGCACCAACCTAGGCCGTCGTTCGTGGGTCGAAGGATTTGGGAAATAATGGATTCACATGGATTTACTATGATCCAATAAGGAATTAATATGGACTTCTGTTGGTAAATCGCCGTCCGAAAGTCTCTAAATGATGTTGGTAAAGTCAATAACACTCACAATAACTAACATGTATTCTTTACCTGCCAAATCATTAAAAGAAATGGGAACCTTTCATGATTTCATAGGGAAGTGCATTAAACCAGTCAAGTCACTGCGGTGGATGCCACATCTACCCTGGTGCTGCGAGAAGGTCCTTCCAGACACCAGGTCGGCGATTGGGGAGCTGGTTGTATCTGGGGAACCATGGGGAACCTTAGATAAATTAGATAAATGATTGATATACTGATTTATCATGATTTATTCCATTTAAACATTGAGTTATAAATCTGGGATCTCAACCAACAAAAGTACGTGCAAAGCTTGATGAAGGGTACTTTAGTATCACCTTCCAACCAGTTGTATGGGCTTTTTTTTTTGATCCGACGAACCTATACAGTATCCGTGGGATATCAGAAGAAACTAAACCAACCAACGTGGGGATTACTCAACCAACGTAACGTGGAATATGATCATCTGGACCTGTTTGCATTGATTGAAACTATCTAAACCTATCCTGGTCCTAGATATTGCTCCGAGAGAGAGAGTAGCGAAACAAACAACATCAAACTCATCAAACAACATCATTTTGGCATGCATTGGCACTTTTATGCAATAACATCATTGAAAACAGATGCTTGATCCAGTTTCGCAGTGGCCTACGGAAATCTAAAGACTTTAATTTGGCACCTCCCGAAGGCTACCAATGATATACGAAGTTCTTTTAAAATATCAGTATATCATGTGTATCATAAGTATATCGTTGCTATACCAACGGAATGATATACAAAGTGTTCCTGATGCTATACGACAGTCCAAATGTCCAGCCAATGGTGTCAAGGTTTCACCTCTCTGACCCACCGGCGGCACTTCCGTAGATAAACAATACACCACAATACGCAATGTGGCATTTCACCAATTTCACAGAATTTCACCGCATATTCGCACAAACATGGCAAGTAAGATACCCTCTGGTAAACTAACATAGCTATTGAAAATGGCCAATTATAGTGGAATTTCCCAATTTTTAATGGTGATTTTCCATAGTTATGTTAGTTTACCGGAGGGTAATCATGACAGAACATCTGAAGTCAATGACCCCTAGGACTTACGACTTTTCCTGAAAAGCCATTGATTCGTGGGTCGGTTCACTCAGCAAACAAAGGATCCCACCAAACACATGACATTTCTCAGCCCTGAACATGAACGGCTGTTATATAGCTTTTTGGTATCTTGAATCTTTGGATGATATCACTGCTACGTACCCGTCAAACAAATAAAAATACATGCTTGCAACGTTTAAGCCACGACGTGTTTGGCTTCAACCCAGCGGATGCGAACGCTTTTTTGTAATGGGTCCTGATTACCACACGGGACGGGGACACCATCCCATTCATCTTCTGTTTACCAAAGCATTCCTGGGTAACCATAACTGGTTGGTGGTTGACCTCTGAAAAATATATGAAAGTCAGATGTAGTCAGATTGGATCATCCTCCCAACTATTGGGGAAAATAGTCAATTCATGTTCCAAACCACCAACCAGACAATGGCTTTGGGTCAAAATGAAGTGGACTCACCCCCAAATGGTGACCTGATCGATTTCTGCCAGTTGGGGATTGGAAGACGTCCCTGCCATGGACCTCAAAATAGGTGTATTTGAAGGTATAACGTGGGATAGCCATGGCAAAGCCTATGTTCAAACATGCCAACATGCAATAGTGTTGCTTCTACTTAGATATCCCATTATATTTTTTTTGCAGTGCATTTGCATTCCCCGTTATCTATCACATGAATTTCAATTAACATGATTGTGGCTGGTTCTCATTACATGCACAGCCAGTCCTGAGGGCGTTGGTCCATGCACGGACAGCAGGCTAAGCTGAAGGCGGTTCGTCGACCCCTGCGAAGGAAAACCTGGAAACCCATGGAGAGGTCACGGGAGATGGATCAAACATGTTGGTCCCATATATTTCTGGGTACATTGGCCAACCAGTAAATTAACATAGCTATGGAAAATCAGCATTTTTAATGGGAAAATCCACTATTTCTATGGCCATTTTCAACAGTTCGACCCTGGCCTGACTTGGGGGTTGGAAGAGTAGTGAAACCACTAAAAATGGCTGATTTTCAGGGTCGAACTGTTAATTTACAAGAGAGTATATATATATATATACACATATAATATGTCACTAATCTGAAATGAGGCCACCAGAGGATGATTTCCCGAATCCTAACCATTGATCCCAGGGAGCTCACAGTGAGGTCCCCATTAACACATATATTTAGAATCCATGCATAGGTCGGATAAGCTTAGGGGACTTACTAACAAGGGCTAACCAGTTACATCCAGTTGAATAATCCTCCAAGTACCTTCGACCCTGGAAATACATGTCAACATGGGTAAAAATATGGTAAAAGTCCTTGAACTATGGGGCAACATACCAATTTTTGAATGGGATTTGGTGGGTCCCCCTGGGTCTGAGGTTGATAAGGCAAACCAACAGAACACATACCGGGCCTCAAGGCACTTGGGTGGTCTTTACCCAGGAAGTTGAGCAAAAGTGGAGCATACGAATCAAATCAATAGGAAGCTAAAAAGCAGACATAGAATCAAGACATGAAAGTCAGGTGACCTTTGGGCCTGAAGTAGTCCAAGTGTTCAACCTGAATCCTGATATCTGATATCATCTGATATCTTAGAGTCTTTATGTAAGTTTAGAATACCTATTCTTGAATTCATCAATTTTTTCCAGGATCACTGCAGATCCCTTCTCCAGGTCACTGGAAATATAGGGCTCCATGTGGCGAAGCGGTGAACCAATGGCTGCAGAGGAGACCATCAGCTGATCATTAAAATATGGAGTCCATGGAGCTTTCCAATCCATGGGGCTACCCTTAAATCATCCATTTTCATAGGATCTTCCATTATAACCTGTCCATTTTGGAGATCCCATATCTATGGAAAACCCCATATGATCCATATGTGTTCTACAATCAGATTCACATGTGAACCCAGGAGATTCCTTGGATAGGACGTAGGATACTTATGGACTTATGGGCCTATAAAAGGTGGACGGCCCCAGTTTTAATTTCGTTCAAAGACCCATGAACTATCGTCAAATCATGCATCAAATCATGTTGCATCTATCATTTTTACCATCAACATCCATCAGCCAATGTATGTTACATCCATCATAAACCATCTGGTTGGTGGTATACCTACCCCTCTGAAAAATATGAGTTAGTTCGTCAGTTGGGATGATTTTTCCATTCCCAATATGATGGTAAAGTCATAATGGCGCCATGTTCCAGTCACCACCAACCAGCGGAATTCACCCCTCGGCATTCCGAAAAAAACCCATCGAGCTATCCCTGGTCAGCCGAAAAGGCCCTGACCAATTCAGCTCCAGTACCTGGTCCAAAGGTCCATCCTCCAGATCCCAGGGGATCTCCTGAGGTGGGGCCATGGTCGATACAGAAAAAGTCCCTGGTTGATAGGTTAGTAACCCACCAACCAAAAACAAACTCGTAAAGCAAAACTGAAATAAGGATAAATCCCATGGATAAATCACGAAGTTCTATCTCTTTGAAGGGTTTACTGTGACGATTTCTTATCGTTTTGACATAAGAAACAAGACAGTCTAGAAAATTTCCCGGACAGAGAGTCGACAAATCCAATAGGGACACCCCAAATTTCCCAATCGCCATGGTTTTTCCAGCTGCCATCAGCTGTGTGACTTCTTGGATCCAACAAGGGAAATGAATCCAGCTGGAGAATCCCGAATTATAACAGTCGTAACTGTCCCATTGGTGACATGTCTAGGTGCTTCCCCAAAGGGGGTTAAAATGGGACATGTTCCACACCCTGCTCATTGCCTCAAATGTTGTTGTCACACCTGTGGATCCTTTTCCCAAGCGCAACCATGCTTCATGTGTTGCGGCTTGCAAACAAGTAATTGCAACTTGGCTATTGCAATGCTTGGAGATAATGGCTACGCTTTTGATCGCTGTTGTAAGTTGGCCAATTAGTACCACACATGACAAGCAATTTGGTTAACCACTTTTAGGCTGACATGCGCAGTTGCCCAAGTAGCCCAAAGTCAAAGATGATCGATTGAAAGTAAGAACATTCCATCCAGGCATGTAAAATAGCCGCAGCATAATAATACCGATCAACAATTCCCAATCCATAGATTGAACTAAATCAACCAACAATGATAATATGCAATTGCAACTTCAATTTCCAGAGGGTAATTCCCAAGCATCCCAGTTTTGTGCCGGGGAGCAAACAGCAGGGTTTGCTCATCCAGCCAATGCCTGCAGCTGCTTGGTGGTTCCAAATGGCTTAACCCACATTTAGAGACACAACCACAAATACCACAAGGACAAAACAAAGGTTAAACATGGTTAAACGCTTGAAAAAAGGTCGGACACACACACACAAAGAAAACAATCCCATCGTGGATCATGTCTTTCCCCAGCTTGAAAAAAGGAGCACAGTCCCTGAAACAATCATCAATCAACCATCATTCATCAGCTATATATATTCAATGATTCAATGATATAAATATATATATATATTATATTATATCTTATATACATTTATTTTGATTGTTGAAACATGTTAAAACTTTAAAACCCTCATTTTTCGTGACGATCTCATCATCAACTAACAAGGGTAGATCGCAGACATGGCATGCCTTGGTTCCAGCTTCTGCTTCAACTGCTTCAGCTGGTCAGGTTGGACGCCACCAGACCCCTAAGACTCATATGACGGACCCGCAGTCAGTTGAGAAACACCCAGAAACAATTTACATGTTAATATATTTATATATATAAATATACACATAGGAAAAACAAACAGATACATAAGCGATATTGTATGCATTCATGACTATATACACACGCTCACCGAAACACATGTTTCTGCTAATTGCTGATAGTTCCGACTTGGCATACAACAAGCGTACATATATATATACACACATGCATCCATAGACAAAGATAACGATTGACATGAAACCAAACATGCGTGTATATGCATTAGGGCAAAGACAGGTATCCATACTTTCCCTGGATGTTCACAGCGACACGACCTCCATGTTGAATGTGCACTTTGGTGCTGGCACGGTCTGTGTTTAGCTAGCCCGCGGTATGAATGACAAACCAGATACAGACACGTTCAACCTCTTTCCAATTTTTCCAAGGTAGGGATGGTATTTTGCAGAGATTTTTCTTCTGATCCCAATATTTAACGACCTTTTCATAGCAACCGTATCTTGCATGAGCGGAACGCCTTTCTGTGAACCCAGCTGCTAGTGTAGACGCCCAAACTCTTGGGGATGGCTGCGGGCTTTATGTGACGCTTCACAAAAGAATACAAACTACATTCTACTTTACCTCTTGTTTGATTATATCCTCATATATCCTCAAGATTGTCTCACCAACAAATTTGTGGTTTACCGCTCAACCTGTTGGCACTGGGTGTAGAGTGTGCGGAAAAAAAAACTTTGCATATTCCATGGACAAACAGCAGGACAGCATCACAACTCTACCGGCCAAGCAACCAGAGGAACAGAGATCAGCGGAGCCTGAGTTTCAACTTGGGCCCCCCAAGGAAAGCAGAAACAAACACAACAAAGACAACCAAATGGTCTTGATATGTCAAAAATTGCCAAATGCCACTGTATACGTATAAATATATAAATATATGTACAATTATATACATATGTTATTATGTAGATGCAAGTGTCGGACTTTCGATCTGATTTTGGTCCGTAACGACTGTTCCTTAGTTTAAGATATAATTTATGTTACAATATATTTTAATATGTTGTAATGTGTTATAATCAAATATAACATAACATAACATAAAATAAAAAATATAATACAATAAAATATAATATATTAAAATAAAAAAACATACATAATATACTATATTTAAACAAAAATACAAAATAATAAAAACAACATATAATAAAACATAATAGAGTACAATATATTAAAATATAGATGTTTTTTTTAAACATAATGTGATATAAATTAATATAGTATAATATAGTAAAATATAATATTGAAAAAATCAAATATGATTTAATTTAATATCACATAATATAGTATAGTATAGTATAATATGATACATATATATATATATACAGTGCAGCGTACATACCAGACCTGTAATATTACGCGCAAACACCCCGTTTCCTTCTTGTCTTGGGAAGATCAACAAAGGTACGAGTATTAGGGAATATAAAAGTCCCATCCCCGTTGAACTTTACATTCATTGAAGTTCTGCAATAAGGGTTTAATTCTCCCACCCCCATTGAACGTCTACATTCATTGAAGATCTTCAATACGGGTTAACTCTCCCACCCCCTTCAAACTTCTACATTCATTGAAGATCTTTAATAAGGGTTTTATTCTCCCACCCCGGGTAAACTTATACATTCATTGAAGATCTTCAATAAAGGCTTAATTCTCCTACCCCCGGTAAACTTCTGTATTCGTTGAAGATCTTCATTCATTATGATGATGATGATGATGATCATCATCATCATCATAATCTTGATGATCATGTCAGATGATGTGGATGTTGTTGCTGTTGTTGATGATGATGATGATGATGTGGAACGAACCCGCACAGGTCCCTATGCTGTGCGTTCTGCTCTAGAACATCAAGTGAACCATAGGGCTATTTTTTTTAATTAAACCACGTTTTCAGCTTGTGCGAAGAAGCCGGGCCAACAGGCGCGGGCAAGACTAGAGGTGTTTGGCCCCAACATTACCTCTAGTGCAAACAAGGGATACTGTATGTAACCTATCTATCCATCATCCATCCATCCGTCACTGACCAGCAACCCTCCTCGCCCAGATTGGCCTCATCCGGACTCTCCATCGCTTCCAACGGAAGAAATCCTGGGTCCAAACCCTCCAACAAGGGTCAGTTGAGAGCTGCACATGTGCACAAAGATATGTGAAGGTAAACAGAAACTACCAATCCAACCATCTACACAATACATATATATATATAAATACATATATATATAAATACATATATATATATATAAATACATATATATATAGATAGATAGATAGATAGATAGATATATATATTATGTATTCTATATATATATGATCAGAATCAGAACCATATATATATATATACATAATCATAGAACATATACAATCATATATATATATATACATAATCATAGAACATATACAATCACATATATATATATATACACATACAATCATATATATATATATATACATATACAACCAAATATAATATATAATTTATATGTATATATCATTTGATACATTTATGAATAGATGAACATCATCATATATCAAATCAAATGAGAATCTATTCATCTGTGATCGTATGTTCAATTTCTTTGTCGTGCCGGGCGTCCGTAAGTGGCCCATAATTCGGCTGAAGAAAAGGTTCCATAGCAATGGACCAGCTCCGTTCCTGGCGAAAGCCAAAACGCCTAAGGGGTTTTTGGACCTTTAAAGATGGCCACACATTGGGGCCAAAGACTGGCTGTTTCTAACAGAAAATGATCAAAAAAATATCGAAGTGTCGATTGGTGTCGTATTTTTTTGTTGACCATTGATGACAATGACATACACATGTAAATGTAAATATGTAAATACTGCTGATGAGAAGCAATCATCTTGCTTTGGTTGAAGTTGGATATTTAGGATCATACAGCATGAATCAATGTGTAGCAATGAACACTGACAATGAATCCGTAATATGCCACTACTTGTTACAATGAAGCCTTCGCTCAATTCTGGTCTGATGAAATGGACACCATATTTTTGTAAAAAAAAAAGTTAACATTTGCATGCTCAATAAGTTTAATGTCCGAAAGAAGGGGACCCAAAGTATCAGATTTAGACTTTACCTGGCCGAGGGAAAGGTTAAAATTTGGACAAGTCATTTTGAAAATCTTCTCATTGACGGGATTCTCCACCATTATAAATTATGATATATTCAACATCTGCATGTGAGGCAATGACGTTGCCCTTCTAAAAAAAACATTTAACTACTTAGACTAGCATGGGAATCCTGACCGAATGTCTTGTTGCACCAATCAAAAAGACGATCGCAGTCATGTTGGAGTTATGACACCGGCTTCAACAGATAAAGTTGATTTCAGAAAAAAAAACACATTCAGAAACAGAATCACCGAAAATTTCAACCCGATAGGAAGAATCACCAGAAAAAAACATGTTTTTTCTCAGACTAAGTATTTTTTGTTTTTAGTTTGTTTTTATTTTGTTTTTTCTTGATTTTGGTTGTCTAGTTTGTTTTTTTCTGTTTGCTCTGTTCTTTTTCTTCATAATAAAACCCTATATTCTCTGTACTGTTGGACTCATAATGATGGAGGTGCTTCTCAACACCCAGTGCCGGCACTTCTCGTTCGTGAGCCAGTCATTGTTTGTGGCCTACACCTCACAAGTACGGAAGGTGCCGGGACCTGTCGAACTTGAGCCGCAAGCCTGTCTACCAACTGCTTTCGGCAAGACCCACCGCTAATGTACAAACCAAACAACAACTGTGCAAATATAAAAATATGTATACTATCATGTATAGCTCTTCCTTTTTCACACCCACGCGACTTGAACCCACAGATAATTATTCAATATAATTCAACCTTTTGCGCTATTTTTTTTGGTACAACACCCCATGCTTCCAACAGAACCGCGGACATGACCGGGTGACATGCCTCTGGGGATGGAATGCTCAGCATGCAGCATTGCACCCTCTTCCAAGTTGCCGCGGAACCTACCACGATGGTAGCGGTGGACCCAGCCTATTTTTTCAGGATTTTGAGATTGAGATGATATAGTTGGGTATTCAATAGTCAGCCGGAATATATCTTGACGATATCTTAAATAGAACACAAACTATAGAAAACACAAACTATAGAAAACTATAGACATATAGAACTTGGCTTCTGGTTACTTGTTTTTTATCCACTAGCCACACAGAAAAAAAGGGATGTTTGATTACAGGAACCCTCCCCACCAGCAATTCCAGCTGTTGGCGGCGGAGGTCAATGGCACGAAGCTGTTGACCAGGTCCTTAGTGGGTGGAATGGTTGCCCCAGAGATCACCTGATCGACTCAGGATGACTTGATTAATGTCGCCTTTATAAAGTTAGAGCAAAGTTTTACAATCAACATAAAATCAAGATTATCCCGTGAAAACAAGTCTGTGTGATGTTCTATGACATAGGTTCTACCAAAAAAACAAAAACAATGGAAATATACCAACCAACATAATTCAACATGTTGGTTTCACTGGAAATAAGTTCTCTGGGCAAGAGAATGCAGTGACCAGAAAAGGGGCCCCTGGCGGGACATCCCTGGTTTCCTACGGATGAAACATAGCTTTGGCGAAGCGACATTTTGGGATACGTTGACCAAGCCACTCAACCGATTAGTGAGTACTCACACAAGGCCCGTCTCATTGTAGGTAGTATTTCAATCTTGGGGAACGGGATTGTTAAATCATATCAAATCATGTGTATATGATATATATAATTATATATATATAATATTATATATTATATAATATTTGATTTATATATAATATATAATATATCATATATGTATATAATAAATATATATATATAATATATATATATATATAATATAATATATAATATTATACACAATATTATATATGATCAACCATGTTTTTATCCATACTTATGTAAACATATGTAAACCATATGTAATGTGTTTAGACATACTGAAATCATTCAAAACAATACCAAAGTATCCATTCTGAGCAAATACTTTGCCACAAGACCATGTCCCAGCTGCAATAAATGGCACCAACGCCCGAAGCACCCGACCCTTCTCATCCGTGATGTTGAAGGACCTGGTCACTGGCCGGTGCTGGCCGGCCCCAACAAATATGAAAGTCCACCGGAGAATCCTCTTAATCCTATGGTTGTATTAAAACAAAAATGTATATAGAATTACATAGATAATCATAGATATATGATGATATATGTGTATGTAATCCTGATTCTATGGTTGCAAGTAGATTTACCCACATGACGAAGGGTTTAGCCCCGAGTGCGCCAGCAACCCGTTGGAACTATCATCCCAATGCCAGCGGTTTTTCCAAAAGCTATAAAATCCACCGGCCCCATGAAACAAATAACCATACTTCTATTAGGGTTTCATTTAGGGATGCATACAATGGCGAGAAGTGCGCATGGCTGTGGCAAGATGAAATATGAACACTCCAGACTGGCCAAAAAGTGAAAAATGGGAAAAGGCCGAAACGCATGAAGTCCGCAGAGGGTTCACTTTTCCGACTGATTTTTCTAGAAATTCGTCTCACAAAGGTCATAAAACACTGCGCCTGCGCAGTGAAATGTGCCTCCTTAAGACGTTAATTATTCCGTTCCGGGCAAACCCTCAGTCTTGCTCGTAGATTTACAACATGAACCTCTCAATCTGAACAAGTCATGGCTACTTGCGATGTTCTATGATCTGATCTGGGACAACCGGGACGTACATCGCTTGGCATAATGCAGATTGCACGCACATACAGGACGAAGACACAAATAGTGTTGTTTGTTGTTCGTAAAGAACAATACTAATAATATGCCAACATGTATGTAAACAGTAAACAGTAGACATGTAACCTTCCTATCATGTGGTATCACATGATAACAAGCAAGCAAGGAACGAATTGAATTGTCTTTTATTGATGAACATTCCTTCTAAATATCGCAGGCTAGTTGGCTAGTCTACGGAATCCAAGCCACAACTTTCGAGAACAGCCCTGCCAAGCAGTACTGACCGTAGGGAGCTCTTGGGAAATCCCACCAAACTCACCGAATGTGGACCCCTCAGACAGGATGACCCGCTGCCTGGAGTCGACGACCAGCAACGCTTCCAACATCGACTCTTCGACCTCTCCAGTCAGTCGCGCCTGCCGCGATGCAAATCAGCCATATGGGGCTTTCAAGGGCTTTCCATAGTGGGGGTATCCCAATAGCTGGATGGTTTATTTCATGGCACATCCTATAAACACATATTAAAATGGATGATTTCGGGGGACCACCATTTCAGGGAACATATTTACATTATTTTACATTGCATATCGATGGCACCAACTCAGACAGTCCCAGGATAGATAGATTCAAAAGGTAAAACGTGCAACAACTTTGAGCTGATTCGATTGATGGTGCAATATATTCATGTTTTTCAGTATGTATATGTATGTATATATCCACTACATTGGCGTCAACCAATCTGGTTGATGTTTGAGCCCATTCCTGACATTACATTAAATTATTCCGTATTGAATTGGGATCATAATATATAATCACCAACAGGGTGAAACAACAAGTGTATGTCACGCGTATAGATCTGAAACGCCCAGCCATCAAGCAAGAGACTATTCCTCCAAGCTGCATCATGCTGCTTCAGAGGGAACCCTGCAAATTTCTTGGCTTTGGCCCTGAAAACAAACATGTTGAGCTGTGTCAAAGCTCAACATAGTAAATGTCTAGCAACACACACATACTTAAATGTGCTTCAGCGGCGCCACAACAATAAAAAACATATTCTCTCAATCGATTCCCCAAATGGAGGCGTCCCATGTTTTCCCATTGGTTTTGCCATGTTTTCCCATTGCTTTTCCCCATTCGAATGCCCCAAACGTCATTAGTTTCCCCATATTGTCCGACACATCTGGCGAATAACTGGCGCCTGAAAGGTGCGCTGCGCCGCCAGACTCCCCCGCAACAACTCAGCCACATACCTCCGTGGACTCAGCCAGTAGTGTGATGATTCGTGATGTGTGATGATCATGAAAAAAGAGATGTTGCCCAGCGAATTTGGGATGGAAAGGGTAAATCATGGTAAATCACAAGAAAATCTGGTATGACACTTGAATAGTACTGCTTAGTCTCCATTGCATTTGTGTGGTATCGAAGTGGTGTTGATGAAGGTTAGAAACCATTGATGCGAAGGAATCAACCTCAGTAGATACATGTTACATGATGATATATTTACAGAAATTGACAATCCCCGCGGCCGGTAAATCATCCAAAACTTGAAAATGAGAGGTATTCTACTGCAGCAGTGACAACAAAGCAAACCCTGGCAGGTCAACATGACCGTTTTGAATTTGTTAAGAGGACAATCCAGGAATTCAGTGACCTTCGACTAACACGGAAAAATCACTTGACCATTCAAGTTGCCATTCAAGTTGCCATTCAAACAAACCTCACTAAACAGTTGATGGCCAGGTATGAACCAGTTGCATTGAATGCCTTTGCCATTGGTCCGGGCATTATATATATATATATATTGTATGTAATAAATAGTTCTTACACTGGAAATAAAGCGAGGAAATCACATCGAACCGTCACATGCATTTGAGCCTTTTCACTCATATTTCTATAGCCGACATTAGTAAATTGGCATGAATAGATATGACAATCCATGAAAATCCACCATAGATGTCTAATAATCTATATGAGAGTTTCCTAAAATGGGGGTACCCCCTTGCCTCATCCAGTCGTCATGAACGACCACTTTAATATTGAAACCCATGGTGACGACTGGGGATCCCCATGACGTGTCGGACACCGCCATATCTCACGTCATCTGTAGATCTCCAGGTCACTCCGGTCTTCGAAGCACGGGCGGCCAATGCAAGGGATGGAGCGGAGCCAACTCCTGCGGGTGACATGGTGAATTCATCAATAAGTGGGAGATAGTGGAACTTCGCGGGATGGAATGTCATGCGACTTGCTGGGACTTGGAGTTGATGAGATTGAATGGTCATTCAAGCTTCAAGCATCAACAGTTTTACTAGTATGAGTACTTTGAGGGCCCAATAATGAGTGTGGACTACCCACTATGTGATAATGTGATACAATAAGGAATGTAATGGTGGTGTAACTTGACTGACACACACACACAACAATGCGTAACCCACCTGAAACAGATTAGACTGAACATATTTCACGGGGATATAGATTTCATTGGGATATACTGGGTGTATGTACAATGGTATATACAACTTTTACACATTGATATTTACAGGTACAGTGGTGTGTCTGAATCTCAAACTATTCAGACTAATCTTTCAGCCATTCTTGAACCCGAATATTGCACCACTCAGACTTGGGAATTTTCAGTTATCATTTTGGATATCCGAGTTCTGGATTGATTTCGGAACATCAACAAGATGCCCTATATGTATATACATATATATATATACACACCCAGTGTTTTTCATGATTCAGATTATTCAACATCATTCAAGATGCCAAAACGATCCAAAAAGTCTGAAAAGGTCGATCTTCAACAACTTCCCCGCTGAGAAAAAAACATGTTTACTTCCTGGCTCCTCCTTGGCCGGTAGGGATGGCCAGTAAGCTTGGAACCTCATGTCATCCCCAGGGGACATGGTCATGACTGGATGATGCAAGGGAGTACCCCCATTTTAGATCATTTAGGAAACGCCCATATATATATAACATATATATATATGTATCATATATATATATATGTATAACATATATAAATATATGTATAACATATATAAATATATACTGTATATATTATGTATAAATATATATATGTATCCATTAATATATATATATACATATATATACTGTGTAAATGTATGACAATACACGTATATATACATATAGCGTTACAAAACCCCTAAGTTTTGCGATTTTCCAAGAGCTGTTTGTTCATATGAATATTATAGTTTCAGCAGTTGAAGTTGTGCCTCACCCTCAGAGTATCAGTATCAGTACCTATAAGCAAATGTGTATTTACGTACTTTGTTCATGCACCCTTTACAATTTCGTAGGCTATATCGCACCCATTTGATATAGTACATGTTCACACAAGGATCTGAAAATGCATGTATCCAAGGATATATTGCAATGGATTTGGTTCAAGACACTTGATGAGATAAAATTCAACACCTCAGTTACAACATGTCACCTAAACGCTTAGCCTACCCTTAAGTGAACCTCGAAACATGGACAAATTTAATGATAAAAAACAAATGTTTCACTTTGCCGACTCATTTGAGTTTGTCTGAAAATGTCTGTTTAAATTACTGTTTGTACCTGCAAATCCAACAGATTATCATTATATACTATGTACTCATTGAGCAATTGTGGAGGTTTTTTGAAAGAGCATCTCCCACAAACCCATGTCACAATGTCTGTTGACCTGCTTTATCGCTATGTTCATATAATTGTCATATATTTGCAATGCAAATCCACCACGGATCAACAAACATATACAAAAAATTGGCTTCCTTTTGTGGTACTTTCCAAAATTCTCGTCCAGCAGCGAATCAGAATCCGCTCGAGAACGTTCTTGCCTCGGCGTCAACGGGGCGAGATAGGCTGCCAATTCGGGCGAATTGGGTGTTGCTGGTGGTTGTTCTAGTTTTGGCAGATAATTTTAATGTAGATTTATAGATACACATTAATTACACTCTACTAACCAATACAGTAAATGGCCACGTATCCTCACGGATCAAGAAAGCTGTTGATGGGATGATCCTCCAAGTGGTATTTTCAGGGAGTTTCACAATGAGGGCCTTTATAGATAACTTCCAAACATGGATACAATGTTTGATATTGGGGGTGGGTCAAAACCTATGAAATTACCATATGACTGGGGGAAAAACCATTCATTAACCAGCTATTTCAGGGTACCCTTTGGGTACCAGGGGCCCTTGAACCATAACCATATAGCTATCCACACCCCTTGGATTTCATGTTATGCTGGCGGCCTAAATGGCCACATAGCCTTTGTTACCCAGTCGTTCAAGGGGTCAAAACCTGAAAACCAAATGAGAAACCTTCTGGTTCCAAATTCTGAGAGGCAGCGGCTGTATGATCGAATAAGGCGCGACACAATGATCAAACCAAAACCCTCGCTGTTGGAGGTTGAATCTTACTGAATTTTCATGATTTTTCTCAATGGATGTTCAATCTAACTGCCGCCCTGCCGCAGCTCCATTCCATGGTGCCTCTCTCACCAAGGAACAAATATCTTTGGGCCAAGGATTCGCCGTCGCCTCAACGGTGGGGATGACCATGACTTACTATTTTTCAACCATGGTGACGACTGGGAGTCCCCAGGACCTTACTTGGATGTGCCAGTCACAAGGGTGGGAAAATTAATCATATTGTAACCGAGTTGTAGTAGCATATATGAGTATGTATTATAATGCAACATGTATATATATACATATATATATATGAATATATGATATGTATATATATATGAATGTATGATATATATATATATATATATGTACGTGTATATATATATATATATATATATCAATAATATGTTGTACATATATTGATATAATATATATATACATTTTAGATAGCACAATTATTATATACGTATACTTACTTACTATCTTATGCTCGGTTTTTACGATGTTGCAGCGCCATCTGGGCCTGCAATCAGAAGAGCTTCTGGGGGCACGCGACCTGATGCCGATGAGTGATTGCAATCTTTATGGCAACAGACAAGTGCCAGCAACGTATCCCCATAATTTACACTACCTGAATATCATCCGGATATCTGGACAATATCTGGATATTGTGAATTGTATATCTGCACTATCATCAGCATTGCTTATGTTATCATTATATATTCTTATTATCATTGTCCGGTTGTGAACAACTGAAACGAAAAAACATAGCTACTTCAGCCTGCGGCCAGCAATCGCCGGTTGGCGCTGCTCCAATGATCCCAATGCATCATCCAGCCTGTAAAAACCTGCACATACCCAAACTGTTTGGTGGTAGTTTCTACCCCTCTGAAAAATATGAGTTCGTCAGTTGGGATCATTATTCCCAATATATGGAAAATATATATAATGTTCCAAACCACCAACCAGCAAAAAAAGGAATCATCAACATGGGTCAAGGGATCACTACTGAATTGGCAGCCAATGCAGCCAGCTCCAATGGTCCAATGTGCCGTGACGTTGGCGAATTGTTAAACGTTAGCTGTTGGCAATGCCTATCCAATGTATTACCCTTTGCTAAACATATATTCTGACACAACATCAAGAAACATCAAGAAACACAAACCTGGTTGTGGAAAGGTTCTTGGGGCCTGATGGGATATAACATCCTTGCCAACCAATCGCAATCCGGTTCTCAAAAACCATCACCAGGTCGGTCAAGCGCTCGGACACAACAATTCCCCCGCAGCAAAGTCTTTGGCCGCGAAAACACCCAGTCCTGGCGGTCCGGTAGATGGGTGCGGTAGATGGGAGGTGGGAGTCCCCCAACTTTTTGGACCATGTTAAGATGTTGAAAAACAAGGAATCTGGTGATTTTTACCATCATAGTTTGTGGGGGGTCTTGGGCGTCAGAGTTAATCTGGGGTATCTCTATGGGCCCACTTTTGAGGCTGGATACGACAAAAAGAAGGTCAGGATCAATGAAAACACTGAGCATGAATGTGCTCATGACAAGAATCAAAATCAAGAGAATCAGAAACAAAAGCATTACCTGGTTGTTGGTATACCTACCCCTCTGAAAAATATTGGTCAGTTGGGATGATTAGTCCCAATATATGGAAAATATATAATGATCCAAACCACCAACCAGTATAGCACTATAGTCGACTATAGTTTACAAGCCATGTGAGTTACTCAACCTGCAGGTGTCAACTGAGCTCCGCCGGAAAGCCTTCAAAAACAGGTCTGGACTAGCTGATTTGGATACTAAATTCTCAACTCTACCAAGAATCATTCCAGGTTTCCCCACATCGTTGGTGCTTGATAATACATATTTATATATATATATACATATATGATGATATGACATATATATATATATGTTGATATACACACACATATATATATATATTATATACAATAGTTGTTGGCAAACTTGGCGTGTTTGATGGATAAAAGCCGCCCAAAATATCGTAGCACCTCCTGCTTCGTAGGTACCTTGGCAAAGTCACCACGAACTGGAGTCAGCTCCGAAATCATCAAGGATCAAGCCATGGAGTAGCCAGTTTTCAATGGGATACCCCAGCGAACTTGGTACCCTCTGGTAAATGTTAACAAAAAGCTATGGAAGATCCACCATTTTTAATGGGTACATCCACTTAAAAAAAACACCATTTTCCATAGCTATGTTTGTTTACCAGAAGGTAACCAGGAATACTAAACAGCTAAGATCAGTGGAATTACCCAGTCTCTGAGTATCTGCTAGATTCCGAAACTAACGGCTTACATTCTCTCGGCTAGACCTGCTTGAAGAACAACTTATTTCATCGCCCATCAACGTGTGGAACCCTGGACTTTGTCTCATGACACAGCGAGAAATGATGAGAAATGCAGCGGTCAAATCCCCCACAAGTTCTCTGTGAAAATCCCGAAATATCCCGCCATAGCATCGCTTCCCGTTGGAAGATGGGGTAGCAAATCTCCACATGCCACAAAAATGGTCAGCCAACTGGCGACTGGATCCGCTGACAACTGCGTGGCGTGGAGGATCACAGAGTTTCAAAACAAAAAAGAAACTGAGGCTGAAAGCGGCAACTCGGATATCCTAAAATCCTAAAATATCCTAAAGTATATACAGCACTCATCTTAAAATCTTTGACCTCACAATATCCGGGCTTCCCATTTCCACGTCAGGAAGCTTTGCCCAATCCGCAGGTCATCCAATCCTTCCACACCAGGAGTGCCCTGCCAGCCACTGGCATTGCAGCTGCTGGGGGATTTTAAGTCAGGTGGTCTTTTGTAGTTCAATTCCAGCAGTTGCATCAGGCATACATCCTCAAATTTACTGGCATTCAAGTGACCCATTTAACTCCATCTACAAGTTTCAAGTGTCTGTGCTTTCCCTTGTGTGACCTCAAATTACCATGTAACAATGTAGATGTAATGAATTTGGACGCGCAACAGAGGACACGGGGACTTTTTCACCAAGGACTGCTGGCGACTCGGGGTTGTCATTGGCTATATCACAAGTGTTGTAAGCAAATCAACAAAACACAAAACTAAACACCATCTTGACAGAACAAAAACCACACATGAAACACACATCTTAAGTCAACAACATTACATCATGCAAATCCAAATTGATATATCGCATGATACATTGTATCACTATCACATCTGAACATATGACCATGGACCTCAACACATGGCTGGTCATCATCTTGGCTATATAATAAAACTGAGCCTTTTGGAGGTATACTCCATTTTCAGACACACGCAAATATCACGTATGTCAAATATCAAACTGCTTATAATATGTACTGTACACATATATATATAATATCTACATGTGTGTATATATATATATGGCATATATATATATATGTCTATATATACACAAAAAAACATCAGATTCACAGTATTTGCCCAGCAACAAAGGTATTTCAATGTCAAACTCAAACATATGGGTGTCTCTGAAAAAAAATCGGAAACATATAACGGAATATGATTGACCAGCTGATTTTGGTGCCCTATTTTTAGCAATGTTCAAAAGCCTGTGTCGTCCGCTTTTTTTCTGGTTGGTCAATAGAATTCCCTATGCAACCCCATGGCATGGTGATAATCCCCAATTAATGTTGGCTAGTATAATTTCACAACAAATCATCAACCATCATTGATATGTCCACCAGTTTAGCCCCATAGTTTGATGGTTAAAGCGATTAAAGCCATTATTACATAAATGACTATTGTGGCATTAAACAACATAATGAACCGTCCCCAGAAAATGTTCATTGGGTATACCGGTATACCCCTATGTTGGCTTCCAAATGGTTATATAATGACATAGGTTTACGAAAGAATCGTCTCACCAGATTCTATACATTATGATTATATATGTACTGGCTGGTGGTTTCAACAGTTCGTCAGCTGGGATGATGACATTCCATTCCCAACTGTTTCTGGAAAGTCATTCCAAATTCCATAGTTCCAGTCACCACCAACCAGTAATCCCATTATTAAACCCATTTTAATCCCATTTTATAATCAACCAGCCATCAGGCTATCAACCGTAATAATCCAATTAAACCCAGTGTATCTACCCTCTGGTTATTTAACAGTTCGCCATGGAAAATCACCTAGGTAAGCCATCTATAAATGGGCCATCTATACCATGGCTATGTTAATAACCAGAGGGTATAATCAACCATCATTGATCAGCGAAATCAGGCTATATCCCCGCCATGCGCCAGGCCTTGAGCCACTTCACCAGCGCAGAGCACGCCTTGCAGCTCCGTTCCGGTGACCGGGCGCAGTGGCGCCTGGAACAGGCACAATGCAGGATGTTTAGATCATGAGTTTATGGCGAAATCAGGCTATCATGATCTAAATCAGACTAGATCATAAAAAATCATGAGTTGATGATGTGATATGAAATTTTATTTTCTAAACCAAACTAAATCCATGGTAAATCCATCATTTTTATCCCTTTTTTGACATGGCCAGTCTTAGAGAAGCTACCAAAAAAAAAGATCTTAGCTGGTTAGTACAGCATGTATTCCCATTTGCTGCGATGACATGCAGTACTCAACTACCCTTTATAAAGTGTAGCCCATCAAGATGGCTTACCTTTATTAGGTGATTGAACTGTTTTGACATGCCATCCAGCCATAGGGGGGAAGTTGTCACGTTTGCACGGGTGCATGAATCAACAAACGACCGAGAATATGTTTAGTAACATGAAGCTGGCAAAGCATAAGCAAACTAACAGAAATGGGCAAACAGTTAAATCTGAACTTATGATGAAATTATGACTTACAATATATATATATATATGTATTCTGTATACACATTATGTACACTGCACATATAAGTTAATTCCAAAACAACCAGCTGCCGGTCAGTGGGTAGATGTCTTGCACCGACTCCACTAAAAAACAAAGAATGCCGCCCTATGAAGGCCCTAGGGGTTCCCAAGTCACCATGCTTGTACCATGACTTAGGAAACATCCGCAAATGGGCTGGTATATGACTGAATTCATACATGTATTTATGTACATATATATATAAGTATAATGTATATATATATATATATGTATAATGTATATAATCCATGTATATTGTATATATATATATATACATGTACCTACGTTCTTGCTATAGCTACTAGGAGTTCTGGGATTGAACAACATCATGTTGATGATTGGGGATATTCAATGCACCAGATTTATATCCAAAACTTGAGGGTGTCAACAGAGGACTTGTAGGTTTTTGACCCACATCCGTATCTCGTGGCACTGGACATGTGATTGATATTCCCAGGAGGCAGTGTGTCAAAACCTTGTACCCCTGTAGTTCACATCAAAATAGCTGGGATTTATGGATGTTCATCCCACTAAAAATGGTATTAATAGGTATTGATCCATACCCAGTACAGTATATTCTGATAGCTATGGGTCAAACTTGAGTTCCCCTATATTTCTGACATGAGTTCAACCCATCAACTCGTCCACGAATGGGCCATATCTTTAGGATGGTCACACTAACCCCATCAACTCCGACACCACAAGTTGTGAGTAGCTAAGACTAAGACCCGAATAGACCCAATATTTCCCATGGGTACGGAGGTTTCCTAAAATTGGGGTACCCGCAAATCACCATTTAATAGGATTTTCCATTGTAAGCCATCCTTTTGGGGGTACCCCCATTTATGTTCATTTATGAACACCTCGTCAGAGCCGCAGGGAGGACCCAACAAAGTCGCCATGCACCTCTGTGGGAGAGGCAACTGGAAAAGTGATCAGGTGGATAGAAAATGTAGGATAAGAGCCTGTTTCAGAGGCAATCAACTATCATCTCTCATCCATCAGCGACGATGAATCATCTAGCGACGATGAATCATCTAGTCCCTCCGAATTCGCAGTGCTGACATGTGTTTCAGACCCAGATCCATATTCAGTTCTTCAATCAACGATGATTAAAACCATCATTAAACCATCATTAAACCCATATTCAATCATATTCAATCCCTTTATTTCTTCCATCAACACTGATTTCCCCAGCTTCCAGCCCAGCCGAACCTCGAGACGGTCGATTCTTCCAGCGCGTGCCCCACGTGCCGTGGCCGCCGTGGCCGCTCCGCAAGGGACGGCTCACAGGTGCCGCGGGGGAACCATGGCGTGGGAGTAGCATCAACGGTGTCAACGGTGAACGCTGGGGGATGGAAATTGCCCAAAAATGCTCATGTCCATGGGGATTTCATGGAGATATTTTTTACCATACAATGGCGATTTCCATGGGGATTTCATGGGGATTTAAGCAAAAAAGCAATGGAGGGATGAGATTTCGGATTTTTCGATGGATTTGACTTGACCACTTCGGATGGGGATTTGACTAAGCCGCGAAATGGGATTTTGACAAAAAGAAATTGTATAAAATTATCATTTATAACATCAACAGACATATTTTGTTTCAAGGAATATGATTAATATTGGCTAATCATGTTCACAGCGTTACAACATGGCCAAGCATCACGTGAATACGAGATAATTCCAGGAGATACAACGCATTACAAACCAACTACATCATTCAGGATCTGACCGGACCACCCATAGGATTTAGCGTAGTTGCCTCTTTAACTGGACAAAATATAAACTGGACAACAAATCATATCATTTTTCAAGCATCAGTTCAACTATGTATATTTACAATTATATATATACAATTATATATATACATATGTGTATATATATAAGTAAATATATATAAAAGTATATATACATATACATATATAAGTATATATATAAGTATATATATATATAAGTATATAAATATGAGTATATAAATATATAAGTATATAAATATATAAGTATATAAATATATAAGTATACAAATATATAAGTATATATATATAAGTATATATATATAAGTATATATATATATATAAAAGTATATATATAAGTATATATATATAAGTATATATATATATATAAGTATATATATATAAAAGTATATATATATGTATATATATAAGTATATACATATATATAAATATATACATAAGTATGTATATATATAGATATAAGTATATATATAAGTATATATATATATATACATACGAGTATATACCATAAATATATATATATATATATATATACAACTACATATATATATATATATTCCATATCATTTCAATATTTGAGAGGTACCCCTAGTTTTATCCACCATGGCACCATTGACTGGCGTCGATCTCATCCTTTTTGTACTGCTCGCCAGTGGGGCTGGTATAACCCCGGTCGCAATAGCGACAATTTTTGGATATCTCTGGATCCCTGGTGCTCCGCAAGCTGAGCCAGGCTCAACCGTGGATTGGCTGCGGATTCACTGTGGATTTGCTGTGCTGTGGATGTTGGCTGAGGATTTGCTTATCCAAAATATCTTCCGAAATATCATTTGGATTCATCTGGACAAATAAAAACAATGCAACCTGAAAAACATGACTTAAAAGGTCATTTTGGGCTAGTCCATGATAGTACCACCTACTACAACCATCATTTACTTCGTGACGTCGCAGCGAGGTCATTATAGTTTACCCAGATATGGAGTACCTAGATTATCTAGATCAATTTCACTCAAATCCTGTCAAACAACAGGGAAAGACGATAGTGTTCTAGGAAGAAACCTGAAAAAAAGACTTCTCAAAGGGACTTTCTCTAAAGATACTAGCTTTACTGCATGTATATTTGATGAAGTTCAAGATCCTCTCCGCAAACAGATTGTCAGAGGACTACGACACATATTCATACACATAATATATATTAACACATATTAACACATATAAATTAGCATATATTAACATATATATATACATATATACATATATAAACCATTCCTCCAAAGCAAAGCAAAGCAAAGCAACCAATGAACACAATACGTATATATATATATACACCCTTCAAAAATCATCCAAGGTATTGAGGCAAAGGATGTTCATACCCCGTCATAACCCCAAAATATGTTACACATTGATACCATTCATACGTTTGAACATCTTTGAACCATCGCCATATTCCACGTTACGTCTGGGTATCCCGCACCTTTGGACATACCCGATTTGGCATTCATCAAAGTACGAAAGTAGGTAATATATATATATATACACATATATGAATTTATATATATATATGTATGATCCCGCGTCTCGTGTTCACGCCCCCCCCCCACAATAGGGTATGGGGGGTTACCTCCACAGGCGGGGATACATAGACATACACATTTGCATACTGTATGCATTTGCACATACACATACTCCAGACATATACATATACATATACATATACATATACATATACATATACATATACATATGAATATACATATACATATACATATACATATTTCATTTACATATTACATATACATATACATATACATATATATATATACATACATACTACCTACATATTATACACATGTACATATATGTATATATATATATATATATTTACACAATATTTTACATACATACTTATATACTTATATACTTATACTTATACATATTATTAAATTTCACGAGCTCCTGGGATTTTAAGGTCAAGATGCAATATTTGGTGCAGTGTACGCGCACAAGGGTGGCACCAAAAAACTTAAGCGTCATGGTTTGCACGGGTTTGCACTGGATCAGCCTTCCATAAATGAAATTGGTCTAATTAATCGTTCAGAAAAAATGAAACGGTCGGAAACGGTCGGAAACAGTCGGAAACGGTCGGAAGCGGTCGGAAACATGATCAGGCCAAAACTTGTCCAACCCGCATTTTTTTTTAAATAAGCATTTCCGCGCAACGCCGTTTTTTTTTTGAAGGTCCAAAGGTGTCCAAGGGGAAACGGTTGGAAACAGTCGGAGATCGCACCTTCGCTCGGCAAAAAAGTAGTTGTTTTGTAGCAGATGTTCATGAAACATGTTTGAACATTGTGTAAAAACATGCCTTTTTTGCCGAGCGAAGGTGCGATCTCCGACTGTTTCCAACTGTTTCCCCTTGGACACCTTTGGACCTTCAAAAAAAAAAAGGCGTTGCGCGGAAAGGATTATTTAAAAAAAAATGCGGGTTGAACAAGTTTTGGCCTGATCATGTTCCGACCGTTTCCGACCGTTTCCGACTGTTTCCGACCGTTTCCGACCGTTTCATTTTTTCTGAACGATTAATTAGACCAATTTCATTTATGGAAGGCTGATCCAGTGCAAACCCGTGCAAACCATGACGCTTAAGTTTTTTGGTGCCACCCTTGTGCGCGTACACTGCACCAAATATTGCATCTTGACCTTGATATCCAATATTCCCTAAAAATCACAAAATCCCAGGAGCTCGTGAAATTTAATAATACATATATATATATATAATGCAAATATAGCTTATATATATATATATCCATACACATATAGGGATCATCACCATCTCGGGGAGGTGGGGGGGACGACCAGACACTGGGCCATATAATACCACTACTCGGTCAACAAATACTCTCCTGATCACATTTGATCTTATCATATCTTATCTGTTTCTGTTTGAACAGCTATGACTACGCAAGCATCCTGCTGTTGTTCCAACGGATTCATCCATTTCGAAGGATCCATCTCTGTACATGGCATGGTTCACGCATCTTATCATCTGTCAAGATGCCGTGATGCTAATCCAACTGATGCTGTCACCTGCCGACCAAGCAAAAACACACATCTTAACAAATCACTATTTACTTTTCCTCAGTGAACACATCACTGAATTTGGAAAACACCACGATATCTTCCAATGTGTGCTCTTGCTTCAAATGATGTTGTCTTAATGAAAAAGAAAGAGACTGCGCAGGCAACTACGAGCACAACCTTTATACAAGCCATCTTTCAAGTCAGGCAAATGCAGAAAGTTTTCCACATCGAAAAAAGAGGAACCACTTGAGCCACATAGGGTCACACTTGCACTCACAGTGTCCATCTACATCAACATCCTACATCCGTGTATGGTATATCATTAACACATATCATACCAAACTGTCAGAGAAACGGCATGGTACGAGTATGGGCATCGTCGCATTTTCAGTGTGGCCCCGGGCCCACTGAAACCGGCTTGCTCTCGGACACGAGAAGGAACTGGCAAAGCCACATGTTACCAGCAGTGCCAGTCAACTGAGCAATCCTTCGCACTTTTAGAGGACAAATGTCCAAAAAATGCAACTCTGGTGGTTAGCCACGGGTGGTAACAGTTCAATGTGTGAACCTGTCAGCTGGAACCCCGGTCACAAATCCAACATGATTGCTGGCATTTAGAGATGTATGTTGATAATATCATGTGTTTATATAAATATGCAAACATAGATGTTACACATATGATCACAAATGCATGTGTATGGTGTATGTATATGTATTGACGCTGCCCCCTTGACAAGCAACGTCAAACGAGCCGTTTGATCCACCCGTGGAGGCATTGAAATCAATGGCAAAACATGTCAAAACTCTGGTATCCCAAAAGGGTACCTTAAAATAGCTGGTTAATGAATGCTTATTACCCCAGAATCCAAATATGGAGGTTTTGACCCATACCCAAATGAATTCCCACTGCCATGTTTGACTACCACAGGGACTTGTTGAACGGTGAACTAGTGGAGTCCTATCTGTGAGTGGTTTCAGCCAGAAACTTTGGTCCACATCCAACATGATCCCTACAATAATTATGTCCGAAACAATCCCCCTAGGTCAAATGAAGAATTGACCTCGGTACGAACATAATACCATCTGGTTATTTAACAGTTCGCCATGGAAAATCACCATGCTATTAATAGGTAAACCATCTATTTCTATGGGCCATCTATACCATGGCTATGTTAGTCATAACCAGAGGGTAACACTATTTCGATTGGACAAATTTCGGGGCTTCTCCTGCAGAGGACTCAGGGGTAACCACCAGACTTTCGCATACAAGTTCTGCGCCGTCACTGCCTGCGAGGGGATGGAGCGGTTATTGGTCACTGGCTATCCTCCAGTAGCGTCCTGGAAACTACAAGAAGCCCTCCACTTTTGCCGAAAAATCCAGGTTGTCCACAACAGCAGTAGTTAATATCATGATGCAGTAATACCATGTACTGATATGTTCAAAATTAATATACATTAATCATTGGGTGCAGAAGTTGTCAGGTTGTCATATAATTGTATATGTAATATGTATGTATATATATAGTCACTATTTATCATTATTTAATAATTATGGTTAATCTCAAACAATAAAACCATGACAACAAGAGACTACTGCCTCACGACAGTGGCCCACAAACCCACCCAAACATCTAGTCGAGTTTGGTCCCCAGACCTTCCATGGGAACCATATGAAAGTCAATGGGAAGGATGACATCCTATATATTCTGGAAAATAAAACATGTTTGAAACCACCAACCGTGGTCCTTTCTGCCGTAAAATTGGTGCAAGCCGTTTGATGCCAGACCCATGGTGAAGCCGGGAACTGAACGATGAGTGTCTCAGGCCCGCCTTAACTCTGGCGGCAGCGACGGGCCTGACCGAAGGGCCGCCCTTGCCCTTGGGGCCCCCCGGGGCACCGGCCGGTGGACTTTGGAGTTTCGGGAAAGCTCCGCTTGAAGTTGAACTTCATGGGACATGTTTTTGTTGTTTGTTTTTTGGTTTTAAAGTTGATGTTTGAACTTATTCTTGGATGTGCCCCATCCAAGAGTTGGGTCCCATGGCTGGGTACTGATGGCTGGACTGGAATGAACATCCCACAGCCTTGACCCGGCTGATGGATGGGATCTGACTTCAGCTGGGCCATGTGGGGCGATTGGAATATGTAGCCAGTCTGTTGTGAACCTGCTCTCTTCTCAAGGGCTGAGTGATCATCACAAAAGATCAGCTTTTGAAGCTAGGATTCCATGAGTAGAATCAGCTTATGATCCCAGAGATGAGCTGTGAAACTACCACCCTTCCATCCAAGGTTAATCTTTGCCCCATGAAATGTCATGGTTCTTTGGAGGTTTAGCCAATGTTCAGACTTTCCGACAGACCTATATATGTCTATTTTTGTATTCCATATATATATATATGTATATCTAATAGATAGATAACTAACTATAGGTTGTATAACCCTAGAAAAATGCACCAATTATATCCAATTATTGTATATTATTGGTATATATTGGTATAGATTGGCATGTTGGGTCCTCCCATGCTTCCGGCGCTCCAGGCATCCCCACGTCACGGTCATGATCGCTGCGGGATTGCTGCGAATGCGTGAACTGCGACGGGTCCTGGAGCCATAGCCCATGTGTAGATGATTACCTTTGATTTACCTATGATTCATGGCATTTCGCATAGCCATTCTCCATTTTCCAGTCCGTCTTTTTGGTTTTTGCGTTGTCCTTGCTATTTGCAGAATCTTGGAGCTGAAAGCAGACATTTCACAGTATTTTCAACATTTTGGAGTTCCAACCTCTCATTTTCCATTGTTGTGCAACGTTTTGGTGCTCGAACTGTTCGTGTTGCATGATACCTTGCAACTAGGGTTCATTTATGGTGATTTTTTCTTTTGCGTTGGTTTAGGGTTGGTTTAGCGTTTATTTGGGGGTGGTTTAGGTTTTGCTTTAGGGTTGGTTTAGGCTTGGCTCAAGATCTATTTTGGGGTTGGTATTTAGGGTTGGTTTAGGGATTATTTTGGGATATTTGGGGTAAGTTTTCAGATTTATTCAGGGTGTTGTTGAGGGCTTACTTAATCTTTTTTTCTTGGGGGGGTGTTATTTTAGTAAAATGCGGCTGGTTTGCTGGTTTGGGGATTATTTGGAGCGTTTCTAAGGGCTTAATAAGCTTATTATTTAGGCTTGAGAAGCAAACAAGCAGGGAAAACCACAGAAGCAAAGAATCAGAAACGCAGAGAAGCAAAGAAGCAAAGAAACATGGAAAAGCAGAAAAGCAAAGAATCAGGAAACACAATAATTAAAAAACAAACAAAAATAAACCTTATACCTTGTCATTTTTTAAAACATATGAAACATTTCCTGTTGAAATCGTACGCGCGCAGGCGCGCGAACATTTAACACATGCGCGCGCGAGATGCGCAAGCACAGACACGCGCGCGCGCGAGACGCGCGAGCAAAGACAGGCGCGCGCGCGAGGTGCGCAAGCAAGGCCAAGATGCGCGCGCGAGTGCGCGCGCGTGTGCGCGCGCATGTGCGCGCGCGCGCCCGTCCGACACGCGCGCGCGCAAATAAGCTCTCCGCGCGCGCAAATAAGCTCTCCAAAAGTGGATTTGGTGAGCTTATTTGCAATTTGGAGAGCTTATTTGCGCGCGCGGAGAGCTTATTTGCGCGCGCGCGTGTCGGACGGGCGCGACGCGCGCGCATCTTGGCCTTGCTTGCGCACCTCGCGCGTGCGCGCCTCTATTTGCTCGCGCGTCTCGCGCGCGCGCCTGTCGTTGCTCGCGCACCTCGCGCGCGCACGTGTTAAATGCTCGCGCGCTCGCGCTGCGCACCCCGCAGCTGGTGAGGCACCATATATGAACTCATATGTTTTGAATCAAGCCAACTTATACCACCAACAATAATAGGTCTTCATTTTCCACGGCTATGCTAGATTACCAAAGGCTAATGAGGATCAAACTCACCGCACCGATGGTTTTTTTTTCCGAGGTTTTCGGATCAAACAACGGGAGGTTTCCATGGCTTGTCCCACTAAGCAGGCACCACAACTTCGATTCAGGAAGATTACCATGAAATGATCCCAACTTGGTAATATTAATACGATTCATGATCATCCTGAAATATTTCTATGGGAGTTGGAGTTTCTCTTTACAAACCAACTCATAATAACTTATCATGAAGTGACCAGCGGACAATCTTTTACTGAGCATCAATTTTTGTGCCGTGGTGGTGAGGCTATGATATTCTACCCAGATCCCTCCAATTGCTGATAAATTATCACGATGGAGGATATGGATAATAATGATTCATATGATATTGGTTATCCTTCCAATTATCATTGATTTACCACTGTAATTAATGATAGCATCACTGATGATATGAACCCCCCATGTTTTGATGGCTAAATCCCCTCTGTATGCGCATCAAGGCTCTGGCAGGGGAAAACTGCTTCAAGTAGCTTCAGCAAATAACCCAAGCGATCATTTCTGGGTTCCATCAATTCTGCGACCAATTGCGTAGGTTATCATTCATGAAATTATTGACATATTTTGTATATAAATGATATATATAATATATAACATAATATATATATATATTATATTATATATACGGTATTAAAATAATACTTATATATATATAAATATACTTGTAAAATATATTAATACCATATATATATATATACATATATATATATATATATTGTACGTGTAATTACTAATAATACATAATAATACCATATATCTATCTCCTATATTCCCACATGTTTCTAGGTACAATTTCATCTCAGTGAGATTGTCTCCATCCGCCACGATCCTGGCTCTCGGACTCTGGCTCATTGCCAGGCGTCAGCAAGACCTACAGTCGACTCTATGTGAATATATATATATATAAAGATATTGATGATGATAGCTTTCCCCCATCTGTGGCAAGTCTTTGACTACCAAAGGTTTTTCAGAAAACACGTGGCAGTTTTGTACGAAAAAAATCTATGTGCATATTTAATCATATGTGTGTATGATTATGTATAACAGGCATTGGGCCGTGCTGTGCTGTGTTTTTCTTCACGGGTGTCTTTGCAATGAAGCTGAGGCGCTCAGAGACACTGCAAAACACGTGCAACAAACACAGGTTAGGAAAAACAGGAACAAAACATGTACAATGAGGACAACAACATATCCAAAACAACAGTGTAGAATATATCACTTTGGCTTTTCAAAACCAAAAAAGACAGCACTTATTGGGTTCCAGCAACGAAAAGTGGTCACATCAGTATGCGAAAAATGGAAAGCAATGCAAACAGAAAATGCACGGGGTGGATGTTCATGAGGCTGCTTAGAACCGCACAAGCATATTTGCCCAAACATGAAGGGTTACTGTTGGACTGCAACGCAGTGGTGGTGGTCAACAATAGCCCCTCTTTCGTTGAGGCATCAGTGGGTGGATAAGGTCATCGTTTTCAGAATGTCTCATTTATTGCCATCATGCATTATGTCACCCAATGTTTTAAGTACAACATGGTGTTTTACTAAAAGGACACAATTCCCTAGTTCTTAAATAACAGCCCAATTCAGCTGGTACTTGTGTTGACTGAAACCCATTTGGAGTTTTGGGACAAGAACTTGGTACTCTTTGGTACCCTTATGTTTGAGTCCCCGAAATTATCAGAATTGCCTATATTCAACAAACAGTATCGTGTTAAATTAAAGTAAAATGAGATAGTTACCCCTAGCCTAACCATCATTTATAGTGAGGTTGCAGTGAGGTCGTTCATGGTAGTTTGTTCATTGCGACTGCTGAATTTCGACCCTTATTCATCATGTGGATTTGCCTGAAATTGTTTAGACAATACATTGCCCGCTGAAAACCTCTACTGACAGAGACAAAACCAACCCCCAAACAACTTATTATTATAGATCCTCAATGTTCCCCACGTTTGGTACCCAAAACACAACGTGTTTCCTATCTGTCGCTTTAAGGGTCATGTGAAATTCACCTGATTCGAAAGGGGTCACCCTTTGTGCGAGGCGCCGATACAGGTGTCAGGTGCAAAGCAAAGTGTTCCTGGCTCCAAAACGTGTTTCTGCAGCAAGAAAAAATAAGGTGGCCCCTAATGCGTGGCCAGAAACATCACTGTGTGTTGCCATTTGTTTAACTGTTTAACTACCAGCATCTCAAGCTCCAAAGCGTGTATCATTGCGTATTGGAATTTAGGATCCATGCGTACTAAACTAGATGAAGGACCTGTGGTAAGGGGTTCTCACCCGGTTTCCCTCGAGTTCGGTTCAAAAACCTGGGACACCCTGATGTTCAGAACAAAATAGTTGGATGGGCATCTCCCCATTCCATCCCATTCCGATTTTACAAGACTATTGGACCTATCTCGAAACGTACTGGATAACATGAACATGGCTGATTGGTTGTTTTCTTTGATAGTTTGGCATCCAGGGGACAAGCCCAGGATTTTTTTAGCAGCACCAGCCAAAAACACTGGCTGAACATAGTTGGTCATTGGATGAGTGGTTCTAATATGTATGCAATATACCTCGGACCTCAATGAGAACCCACACACACATGGGTGAGAGAACTAGAAGTTAGGACAGTTGCGGGGCAACATACCGATCCAGTTGGTTTACATCGAGCTGGTGCTTATGTTCATGGCCCACAGCCATATGGCGTAGAATTGGTTTTAATCAAGTATTGGGTTGATCTATATAAAAAAAAGGTACCCCAAAACTAATATGCTTAATGATCATGTTCACAATTGAATTGCCAGTTTATGGGTGTACAACATTTTGGGACACACCCAATGCTCTGGTTTGTCATAGCAGGTTCCATTCTATATATCCATGTTAAATTCCATTACTCTGTAAACCCCACTAAACCAGCATTTGTTGATGGCTACATCCTGATCAAGAATCACATACCATTATATCACCATTTGTTGATGATTAATGACGTCCCCATTAAATCCCAGTAAACCATCATTTCTTAAGCCCAGCTTCAGCTCTCTTCGCTGCCTCCCTGGCAATTTCTCCTGGGCACCCAGAATGTTAAGTACCTTTGGGATGGTCATGGCACTATGTAACCTATGTCAACCCAATCAACTCCCAAACGAGAACCAACACGAGTTCTTAGTACTTCAAATCAAAACGCTTTTTAAAACCCAATACAAAAATGTTCATGGGTATTTTTGGGAGGTAATAGATTATATATGATAATATATGGTGGATAACGCTAAAATGTTGGTACCACATTTATCAATCGTTTTAATAGCATTTTCGATTAAAAATTATAAACCATAGATTTTGGGGACCCCCCATGTATGGAAACCTCCATATACATAATTATATACACATATCATCAATCCCAATGTGGTATCAAAGTTTCTTTTGAAACATATTTAAACACATTATTATCTGGCACACATATACTGTATATATATATATACATACATATTTACCTAAATATACACAGTAAGTACATAAACATATATATATATATATTATATATATATATAATTCCCACAGAAGTACGACATACATGCTAAGATAGAATATATTTCCCCTATTATTTTACAGGCCAACTTCTATTTGATTTTGGGTTTGGCACACCAACAAGAACCAAATCAAGTAGAACATATTCTGTAAAATATTCAAAAACTGATGTCCCAAATGATGTTGCAAAAAAATATGTCTTGGATATGCAATGTCTTCTATTTGAAATGGGCTTTTGTCGGCCTTTCTTTTTTCTCGACCCCTGACGCCCTAGATTGTCAGATTGTCATAGCGTTTCCATTTTTTTGCATATTTGAAAGGTTGTGCAGAAGCAAGTTTCAAATAGAACATATTCATGATTTTTTCCATCAAGACAACAGCACGAAAATAAGTATTTTTTGGAATATATTCTATTTGAAACGGGTGTTGTTGATGGAATATCTTGTATTTGAAAATTCTGCCAGCTCTTGTGAAATTTTGGAAACCAAAAAAAACTACTTTTTTTTCGATGGGTTTTGGCAGTTTTTTCAAATCACCACAAAACCTAAAGTTGCAACAACGTCCTCCCGAAGACCTCAAGGTCCTCTTACTTGGATCGTCCAGGCACCAACTTCTATTCGAAATGGCTCCGGGCGACCCCCCAATTTGCAAATTCTATTTGAAAAAATGGTGAATATTTTCTATCTTGGTTGTCTGAAATATATATTTATACAGTATATGTTCTGGAGGAATGTGTCTATGAATGTGTGCGACATAGTTATTTATATATATATACAATATATATATATACAATATATATATATATAATATATATATATACAATATATAATATATATATATACAATATATATAATATATATATATATATATACAATATATATATATACAATATATATATACAATATATATATATATATATACAATATATATATACACACAATAGTGGTCAACTCCTAGCAAATACCTCAATACCTCTAAAAAAGAGACCCTGACTCAAAAAAAAAACAACAACCTCAACTGGAACATCACGGATTGAATTGCCGGCCTGAACTCATTGGCCGTTGAAATTCAGGGATCATCCCACATGATCGTTGTATGCAATCACAGATTTCATCCTGAATCATAAATGGCTGTAACCATGGTAATCATGGTATAGAATACCATTGAAGCCCCATGTTTCTTGGGATATAAGATGAATTGAGATGATATAATGGACATATTTCCATTGTTGGAAGAAACAGCTATGTTAATAGTCAACTATCCAGCTGAAAGGCATTCAATGCATTGTTTATACATGCATACACACATGTTAACATAATTTTGATGTAATGTCCATGTTAACAGTTTACCGACAAACCATGGAATTACCTACGAGACTGAAACCATTTCTAGGGTTTCTAAAGTACACAAAACAAATCATATCAAATCATATAAACACAATTCAAACATCATCATAAACTCCTCAAATCAACAACTAGAACTCAACGTGTCAAGTTAGATACTTTCCAACTTAAGCCACACATGTATGTATATATATATATATTATATATATATATATATATCTAAATGTATGGAGGTTTCCGGAAATTGGGAACCCCAAGTCATCAGTGTTATTTAATCGGATGTTCCATTAATTATAAACCATCCAGCTATTCGGCTACCCCCCCATTTATGGAAACCCACATATATTTATACATCCTCAATCCTAATGTTGGACCAACATGTCTTTGGAGCATACTTAAATGCGTTATACGCAATGTATCCGTCAAATTCCATGAATATGTACGACACATACGTATGTACATGTATATAACACAGAAGTGGTCAACACCTAGCAAATACCTCTGACAACAGACCTGAGCTCAAAAAAAACACCGAGTCCATTTATGGAAAGCCCCATATATTGAACTTGTCCTTTCCAACGCGTCCTGCATCGTCCGCTGAAACGCCATCCGCGCGCGCAGCACTGGAAGCGACCTTGGCCGCTGCTTGGGAAGCGAGCTTCGTCGCCTGGCGACCATGGCGATTTCATGGCGATTTCATGGGTCTTAACTGGGTTTAGCGATAATCGGATGAACATTGGAGCCAGCTGCCTCCTGGTGGGCAGCGCCTGCAGCCAAGGCTGCTTGGGCGGCTGCTTCACCTGGCTTGTGGAATTATGCTTGTATAGTTACTGTAGTTCTATTCATATTGGTATTTAGAAACTTGTATTGGTATTTAGTCGCCATATAGTTCCCCAATTGGCATAATGCAGTTTCCATATTCATAATTGCATTTTGGCATTTGGAATCTAAAAGGATATCTCTAACGATGGTAGATCAGATCAAACAAACTTCCATAGTGAATGGAACTTCACCATTTTTTTAATGATAAGATATTAGAATCTCCCAACATATCCCATACCAATGGAATACCACCATTGTGAATGGATCCAATACCTCCCATTTTCCATTAGAAAAAAATGGTGCTATGGGATATGTTGGGAGATACTCAGGGTTTGGAAAGCCATGAGCTTTTTTTACCATAGGGATTCCATGGGGGCCGCTGAAAAGTGAGCCCATGAGTTGGCGATGAGTCTCAGGGTCTATCTTAGTTAGGACGGTTCGATCCTCAAAATGGAGATGATCAGAAAAACTGAAAATAAAGAAGTGCTTTGTTGTGTACAGAGTAGAAATATACATATACAATCATATACATTGGATGTATTTATATCATGAGATTGTGGTAGCCACAATTTATCCATACAGTGGTGATGATAATTGTGATGGTGGTAACGACGATGAATCATGATGACAATGGCAATAGCCGTGATAACCTGCCCACACCACTCCAAACAAAATGTTTCGAAAAATGCCACAGCTGGATGAAACAATGAACTTAACTTTTGCAATCTATATGAAAAAATCAGGAACATCATTTCTGAGTCACAGCCACAGCAAATGAATCATGGG